CTGAAAATGCAGAATTGTCGGAGTCCCAGAGGGGGGAGTTGAGGTCGCTTTTGCGTGAATTATCTGATGTGTTTAGCAAGGGCAAATTTGACATCGGCCGCACTACGCTTTTGAGTCACCACATCGATACGGATGATGCCACTCCCATCCAGAAGAACCCCTACAGGCTGAGCCCTACGGAAAAATAACATGTACGGTTGGTGATATCATCTCACTGTCCACCAGCCCGTGGGGAGTCCCGATTGTTCTTGATTAAAAGCAGCATGGTTGTGTGCGCTTCTGTGTTGACTTCCATAAGCTTAATAAGATCTCTGTGGCTGACACGTACCCTCTTCCTCGGATGGACGATTCCCTGGATGCTCTAGCAGGAGCACGCTATTTTTCGACTCTTGACCTCCTATCCAGATTTTGGCAGTTGCCGCTAGATGAATCCTCTAAGCCCAAGACAGCCTTTCTTACACCGCAAGGCTTATTTGAATTCAACCGGCTTCCGATGGGTCTTCATTCCACGCCGGCTACGTTCCAACGATTGTTGGAACTGGTTCTAGCTGGCCTCCAGTGGGACTCGTGTCTGATATATCTCAACGATGTTATCGTTTTTAGCCGTACGATTAAAGAACATCTGGAACAGTTACGTGCTGTTTTTCTTAAAATGCGTGCTGCGAACCTCAAATTTAAACCGCAGAGGTGTCACCTCAGACTCCCACATTTGAACATTTACTGGGTGCATTTGTAAGCAGGATATCAAGTATGGACGAGCGAGCTGGGTATTTGTTTTTATTGGGTCTAGTGGTCAAAGTAATCAATGGATTTAGATTGCACTGATTTGTAAACTTTCAAGCATCATGTGGTGACATTAGCCAATTTCAATGTAGATCCCCTGTGATCAAGTTCACATTTTGGAATGGGTTACATAATTCTTTCCAGAGATTGATTTGTTATTTTGCTATTTGGTGGTCTATAGCTACACATCAGTTTCCTGGAGAAGAAATTATTTGCGCGATACAATCAAAGGACCCGGGGTTAGATACGAGTAAATTGTATGCGAGGTAGGTCATTTTTTACAAATACTGCCGCATCGTCCCCTCTTGATTGTCTAATCGGAATATAGTAAGTATATCCTTCAATATCTATTAGGCTAGGATTTATATGTGAGGTAAGCCGTGTTTCAAACAGATATAAAATCAGTTTAACACATAGGCTTCCACGACTAATATTATCCATAAGGTTTTTGTTTGGTTAGATCACGTAAATATGCGTCGTTAAATCCACCATCAAACACAGCCAATAAGTAAGGTTTGTCATGTAAATACAACTTAACCAATTAGTTAGTAGTTCAGAACACCGATGTGATGGAAAGTAAACCCACAATATTTACAATTCGAGTATGATGTTTAGCAGATAATTATTAGACAGAAGATATTCTTAGGTTTTTTCGGTAAAGTCACGTAGGTAAAACATCAAAATTAATAAAAATAAAATAAAATAAAGATCACGACGTTTCGGAGGCAACACAAGGCTCTGTCATCAGGTGGGACTGTCACAGCCAGATTAGCTGCATCAAGTGAGGCAATGATTCAAGATGTAATCCCTTAAAAGCGAGTTGAGGGGGAGGAGAGGGGGGGGGAGCTCATCAGAATGTGGTAGCCAATGAATGGAACGTATCGGGAGGGAGGGGGGCGGGGCCAAAAGGGTGGGCGACGGCGTGGAAGCGATTGTGCGCAAGAGACAAACTGCTGCACACGCCAACCCATTGGACAGAGAGGGGGGAGGGGGAGGCCTGATACACATGATACAAAAGAACGGAAATGCCATTGTTTATACCAATGCTGGCTGAACAATGAAGAGATTACTGTTAAACACTCAGTTGGCTACCACATTCTGATGAGCTCCCCCCCCCCTCTCCTCCCCCCTCAACTCGCTTTTAAGGGATTACATCTTGAATCATTGCCTCACTTGATGCAGCTAATCTGGCTGTGACGGTCCCACCTGATGACGGAGACTTGTGTTGCCTCCGAAACGTCGTGATCTTTATTTTATTTTATTTTTATTAATTTTGATGTTTTACCTACGTGACTTTACCGAAAAAAACCTAAGAATATGAATCCTTGCAGTCACGAAAGCTTCAAATCTAGAATAGACAGAAGATGTCTGGCAAAAGATTATTTAATTCCATTTTGAATTTTTCTATTTTGCACCAGTGGGGGGGCCGACTTTTCTCAACTCTGCGAGTTGGTGGTCTTCACGACAAAACGACATGGACAAGGCCGAGAGCATTTGCACGTGCAAAGCGCATCTCTGCGTGTTGTTAAACATACACGGCGGTATGCAGAAGTCAGCGTCCAACCGTTTACCCCATGACTCGAGGAGGTTTTTTGTCAAGAGTTCTGGTTTTAATTTTACGCTAAAAGGAGTGACCAGAGAGGACTCTTGCACGATAGGACTCTCCCGACTCCACTATACTGCCCCAAATGCAGGTGGTGTCTCACGCTCACCTCGGCAACGATCCCCTCAACCCTGCCTTCCAACTGGCTGCACCACTTCACTCTTCTCTGCAGCTGCGTTTCAGTCCGGACACACTGCGGTCTCTCAGTTGTGCAGTAGAACCACGCGGAGACGAGGAACACGATAAGGGCTGTTGCTGTTTTATTAAACCACTGTTACACTTCACACTCTATGCTCACACCAGTGGAGGTGCTCTCTATCTCGGTCCTTACCCCAGACACTGATCACTATTTGGTCCTATCCTCGACTATCCCCTTGGCTCTCTCCAGCCGATCCTTACCCTGGCTCCCCACAACGACCCCGCCTCCATCACGGGGCCCCCTTAAGAACCCCTCGGGCGGCTCCTCCCCCGAGCTCAGGACCCGCCTTTGTTCCCGAAGGTACCTCTTACACCACCCGTGACATTACGTCATCCTTGACTGTCAACCCGCTCGCACCTTCTTTTGTTCGCCCCCTCATGGTTGCTCACAATACTCCTCTACATCTCTTAGTTGATGCTTTCTTTTGGCAATTCCACGCAGGCCTTCCTGGCCCACCGAGGGCATTGAACCATCAACCCAAACGTCTACTGGTCCAAAACAAGCACGCTTACAGCTCGGCAATACAGAAAGCACAAATTCGCGGTCATATCATTTCAGTCTGGATTCTTAACTAACACATTTCCCTGGATTTTTTTTATCACTGTGGATATATGCCTCTTTCTTACACACACATTTTTTAAGTAAAATATGAAATATAACCTCGCCTAGTTTCTTGTTAACTTCCAAATGCATCGTCAACATAACATTTTGTCATAGGTCAGTTTTTTGTTGTTGTTGTGATTCCGCCGCCACGAAGCCGTTCGGCAGGCGCCCCATCCCCGACCTCGCCACCACCAAGCAACGGAGCCAACCCCTTGTCCCCCTCACCTCACCTCACATGAACACACCCGCACGCATTTCCCCCCCCCATAGAGCTCCGAGGGGAGGTCACCTGGCCGACCGGTTTTTATCCGAGAAACCCTTATCGGGATTAACTCTCACGGTTTCCGGCGATCAGGGAATTGGATGACCTCCCCCGTGCTACGTTGCGCCGCGGCGCTGCGACCGGCCTTAATATGGTGTGGTCGCGGCGTGGGGCATTCGGCCACCGCGGTTGAGGCGCATTTTCCCCCCACACACACCCCCATGGGTCGACGAGACAAGCAGGGGAAGGACGGGATAGCATGAATAGCGGGACCGCAGGGACTCTTGCGCATAGTCACGGAAGGTTGGGATGGTTGCGCTTGAGCACCCAGGCCCCATTGTTAGGGAGGGTAAGGGATTCATTGAGATTTACGCCGCGCACGCCGCACACTGACTAGCATATCAAAAGCGCCGTGGAGGCGCCGCGGAGCCGCCGTGCGCGTGCAAGAGGTGCGCGAGCCATTGTTTGGAGTTTGCGCCGCGTGGGCAGGACATTGATTAGCATATCGAAGGCGCACGGTACGTGGGAAGGGGGTAGGGGCCCGAGTCCGGGAATTAGGGTAAAAAGGAGCGTAGCAAGGTAGGGAGGCTCTCTCTCCTCACTTCTCCTCAAGAGGCACGCGTGCAAGTCGGCTCCCAGCTCTGCCCTCCGGACGTCCGCGCGACGTGCCCCGACGGCATAGAGGAAAAGCCACAGGACGCCGAATACTTCTAATAGTGAGTGAGAAGGTGAATTAGAATCATAGCAGATAAATCGGGAATAGGTATAAAGGTATCAGCGTAGGCCAGCCTCGTCGACTCACTGATTTAACATCTAGTTCCAGGTAGCGGATAATAAATCATTAATAGCGAAGCGTGGTCTCGCGTGATCTTGTTGGGCGGTGCGTCGCGTGGGGAGCTGAGTGTGTGTGCGTGCGTCCACCCCGGGTGCGATACAGGTGCGCGATCATAACGCGAGTAGTCCGGGGTGAGTGTAGTGCTGCGGCTCGACTCGGGGGAGCGCTGCGCAGAGCGGCGCGAGAGTGGGTGTCGCGTGTGTTCACTCCATGTGTGATACAGGTGCGCGATCATAACGCGAGTATTCAGTGGTGAGTGAGTGCCGCGGGGAGCTGTGTGCGTGAGTGCACATACGTTCGTTACGTGTCGGATACGGATGCGCATTGGTAACGTGGTTATTCGACGTGGAGGCGAGTGCCGCACAGGGCTATAGACGGGCACACGCTCGCAGCGTGCGAGAGCTGTACGTAGCGGTGTAAAGAGGGGGAGTGTGGCGTTTGATTGATGATGCTGTGCGCACGTATGCTCGCGTGGGAGCGCGGCGCGAGGCTGTAACAGTAGGGGCGTCGCGTTCGAATGTCGGCGAAACCTGTAGCGGGTAATAGGGAGGTGGGGTAACGTAAATGGAATAGGGGATGAAGGCGGGAGGGGACCCCGGGGGCCAACGGCCCCCACATTGTACCGAAGTAACAGCTTGCTGGAAACTCGCTTTGGATTTTGTAAAAACAAATGCCGTACATTCGAATTAGTACATCAGGCACTGGCACAATAAGGGATTTTTATGGCCGGTTTTATTAGTTCTTCACAGTTGGTAACACGGGAGCCAGAGCAAGTAACAGTACCCAGATCGTTTGCAGTCGAGTCGGTTAACACGAGAGGAAAGACAGATTGAAAGTGAATCCAGAATCCAAGCTCCGTGAAGATGGACGGGGGGGGGGGGGGTGAGAGAATGCTCTGTGTTGCAGTGAGCGAGCCGCAAACAGCAGAGGGAACGTGGCAAGGCGTGTCGACCGAATCATGGGAAACGCATTCGAATCCCGCGCGGACGGACACTCGTGTAACGGGGTGCATTTATAAATCTCCGGTACGATTCGAATAATACGCGTTGGGGGTTTGCATATATATAACGGGCACGATTGCTGTGAATACAACAATCTTACACTTGATTTTCTGACGTATTCTTCTTCGTGTAATGACCCAATAGTTGGTCTCGCTCAAAGGCACCTGTGGGTGTTAAGTCAGGTGCAGTTTCTCCAAGTTGAACGTTGGTGATTATTGCGGTAATAATGGGCTTTCCTCTGGCTGGGAGCTCTGGTCATGGCACGTACTGGACGCCACACAAGTCACCTGTATCACCACCGTCATCGTACTTCAGCATGGACACCGACGCAGAGGAGTCCACGCCGCCAAACGGGCTTAATTAATTGCCAGTAAAAAAAGACAAGTTTACCAAGATTTGTAAACAAGGAAGGATTCCACGAGAATTAGGAAACTAAAGTTTAACTTAATTCCCTGACTGGTGTTGGAGCCCCTATCCGGTACTATAGCTACTCAGGAACATGATAAAACAACATTAATGTTCACTTGCAGTGAGAAGACAGAATCGGGGGGGGGGGGGGTCTTTATCCATGGAAGGCAACCAGTGTCGGTGAAAACTCCTAATAAATAACCTGCAGCAGGATAGCCACCGCCAGCCCTCCTGGGCGAATTCTGGTGAGCGTGCCGAGAGACTGCGTGGCGCAGACGCCGCTGATTGGCGCGGTTGGCTGCGTATGGTGCGGAAGAAGTTCTGCACACTGCACAAGTCCCCAACCACTGAAATCAATCCACGCGCACGCATCTCTAGCATGTATGCGGCGTCTTGGTAGCTTTCCACCGACTTTCAAATAGATGTCGTGCACCGTCTCTCCTAGTTTCTTTCTTCACTAACGCCAGCAAAGAAACTAATTTATCGAACATCGCGATAATGGCAGGTCACGGCACTCTATAGGGACTCAAAAGGGCATGACGTTTTGACTTCATTAGCCTGGTGGACACAGATGCCAAGACCAACGTGACACTTTCAATATGAAGATAAGGTCACGGCCCTTAATCATATATCCTATGTATCTCGAGACAACTTTACACGCCCCAAAGCGTGAAATATTGACAATGTAGAAAACCCAAAGGTTGTGCAGGTTGGTCCACTTGAGCAACATTCGTCAATTGAACCGCCCTGTCGTGAATTTCTGGCGAAGTGCGGTCTGTTCATTGCATAACCGAGCACTGCCCCATTGTACGGATGCTGTACTCCATACAAAGCTGCAATGCTTTGCCAGTTGCATTTCAAACGCCATCGTCGATGAGGCTGAATGCTTCCATTGCTACCACAGTCCTCGCTCTCCAAAGTGGCTTGAATCGCGGCATCAGCCTTCTCGTTCTTCTTTCTCCGTTGCTGTCAAAGCAGGACGTGACGTAAGGAACACATGAGCGTCGCACTGGAGGTATCTATATCGAATATTCGTCCTGAAAACCTTGGCCGGGTTTCGGGCTGTCTGACGCGAATTTAAAGGTTAATTCGGGAGGAAAAAGGAGACATTCTGGGCAAGCGAGCATTATGGAAAGGTGCGTCAATACGGCACTCCAGTGATATCATGGCGATGTCACTCCAACATGGGTTAGTACACCGATGGGGGTTGATACACCTTGAGCCATTTGTATTTTGGGTTCCATCTTCCTGAATTTAAAAAAAGGCAATATCAGTTGAACATGTAGACAACATCACCAACACGATGCGAGCAGCAGCGCGAGAGAGACACCGCGGCGCAAGAGTGGACGGGAAGCAAGTGGACACGCAGATCAGCATGCAGGTCAGCACGCAGGTCAGCATGCACATCAGCATGCAGATCAGCACGCGCAATTAGCCCTTAAAATACAGGAAGCTGCTAAAATGCCAACAAGTAAAACAAACGTCTTAATGGAATATAACAAGTCAGCAAACGTTATATATTTAAATGCATTGCAACGTTTACAGCCGGTAGGATGAAAGCTGCCTATGTGTATGTGAACGGGTGAACACGACGGTAAACATTAGTCTTTCAATAATCTGTCAATTTCAGCAATTTTTTTATGGAGACCTCTCTAACAAATATAAACATGAGCAACCTTTGCGAGATGTGACCAACATGGCATTACACCCTACAAAGATAAAGACAAAGATCCCTCGTAGAGCCTTAACAGACTGTTGGAGCAAGTGCTGTTAGCAAGCACTTATGAAGGCCAGCACGACACACGAAGGGGGGGGGGGGGTGGTCAACAACACGCCCGGCCGCCTTTGTCTCCCCAGTGGCGATGTTTATACACTGCACCAGGTACTCATTTGAGGCTGAGTCGACCTAGGGGAGGCCCAGGACCGGTTCAGATAATCGTCACTGGTCTTGGCCGTGAGCGGGAATAGAACCCGGGTTACCAGGTTCGTAGCGCAGCACGCTAACCGCTACACTACCGCTCCCCATTTACACCCTATACACACACGCATGCGCGCGCGTGCATATATGCAAGGAGTTAAACGTGGAAACATTTTCAACAATAAACAACAACAACCGAGAGACTCTCAAAGGACGCCCCGCGAGCCACGCAAGGCGTTGGCTCTGTAGCCAGCTGCTGGAGCCATCCCCGTTCTCGAGTGAGACCAGCACTCGCCCATCCCTCCTCAACGCCCCACACGCGGTGCCCCATCCCGCACAGCGCACCGGCAAGACGAGATTATTGCCGCACATTCTTTTTTTATCAACTACTAATACAAAAAATAATATGCGGTCACCCGCGAAAAACTTCCCTCGCAATTGATGCGACGCATGTGGAACGTGCACTGCACATGGCTTTTCTCCTTCGAGGGTGTGCGCCGTGCACCCTCCTGGCTTCCGTCCCGGACTGTCGTTGCCCACCGTCGACGCCGTCATGGCGGCGCTTCCCCCCTCCCCTAGCTGCCCCCCTCACATGTGCTTGCGTGGGACCCAAACGCGCCTCTTCTGCTCCGCGACGACCGCCTCCCTCGCCTCCTGCAGGATAACCCCCACCACCGTGCCATCCTTAGCCGCCGGCGCGCCGCTGTCCTGCTCGCTGGTGAGCGCCTTGAGCAGCGAGCCTCTGCCCTTGAGCTCCACGTAGTTGTATCCGCTCTCGGCCAATGCCTTCCGGTCCTCGTTGAATGCCACGGTTGGCGGCGACGAGTTGTCCGTAGGATCCATGAGCGACAGCTCTTTCCTGCGAAGCAGTGTTACGTTATTATTGGGCTTCGCTCGCCGCCCCCCTACCCCCCCCCCCCCCCCCCCCCCCCCACTTCTTGTTGGTTTTCACGCATCCGGGGGATGGCACGGAGTAAGAGCACGGGGTTACAATCCCAGTTGTTCAAATACTACTGTAACTATTTAGCTAACTGTTTTTATTTTATCAAGTAAGGTCCACTGATCTATGTAGCTCGTTTTCAGAAGCAACAAATGAGAGGACAACACAGTCGCTCGTCATGTGGAAATGTATAGCAGCCAAATACTCTTAAGCTCATGTTTCTGAATGTAGAGGGAAAAACCGGAGCACCCGGAGAAAAATCCACACAACCACGGGGAGAGAGACATGCAAACTCCAAATATACAACAGGCGTCAGGGTCGGTATCTAACCTACGACCTCCTGCACACCAGGCCAGGGAGTTAACATCTCGCCACCAGCTGGCAGCCAATTGTACATATGTACGTACGCTTGAACTTCTTTTACACCGTACGTAGCCAACTGTGCTCATCGGAGTTGCGGGAAATGTCCATCTGGGCGGATACACTGAGTAAAGTTGGAAGAGAACAGTGGTCACTCAATGGAAAAGTAACCATGGAAATGTGTAATTTTAACCTTGGGCTCAAGCCTATCCATGAAGATGAGCGTAGTGTCACACTTAATTGCGTGGACGTTTAGAAGTGGTGGTTTTGCCGTTCAATACAAAGTGGTTACAGACTGAGACGAATGAGCTCCCACTGTTGTGATGATTCCGCTCGTTTACTCAGGAAAGGCTCGAGTATTTGTATTTAGAGATGATGTTACTTTTGTAATCCCATTTCAGTAATTTGCAGATATTTTTTGCCAAGACCAGTTACATTGTTCTAGATTGAAAACTAATTTCTTCAGAACTGCTTTTTGTGTTTAGTTAGTTGTCCTTCCCCCGAACCCTCGATTGGCTACGTACGGTGAGAAGTTCAACATACATGCACACATATATATTGTACGATTCTTTTTCCAGATATTGGAGTAAACCGAAGAACCCAGAGGAAACCCATGCCGAGCAAGGGGGAACATTTAAACTCTGCACAGAAACGCCGCCCGAGTCGGGCATCGAACCCAGGTCCTTCTTGCGGTGAGGTGCGAGTAGTGGTCACCACTGCACCGCCCAGCTGCCCACTGTTGAAGCGCACCAATAAGTGTGGGGTTAGAGGTCGGTTAAGTTGATGCACACACACACGTGCGCGCACTCATGGCATTTGCTCACTTGGTTTTAAAGAAGATGAAAATGATGATGGGGAAAATGTCAGCTTTGTGAAGAAGTTCCACAGCATCCAAACCGATTGGAATCACGCAGTGAACCTGCAGGACAGAGACACGTGTCAACAACACAGCCAGCGTCTTCTCGGTGCTTACTAGGGAAGTTCTCCTGAACTCCACATTCAAGACGTTCATGCATTTTTTGTTCAAAACGAGAGTGAGTGGATCCAGCTCGGCCACAACGTGGTTACAATAAAGAGGCGCAGCCCTGCAATGTCTTGCTCACGCCACGTGCTTAGAGGGAGCTCTGGAGAGTTGAATATCTTGGGTCTACTTTTCTAGACGCCGTGGCAGAAGTGGGAGTACCCACATTTGACCCCGCCCCAAATGACCTGCCCATCGACTGACTGTGGTGTGACTCACACTGCTGGGTGGCCAGAGGCAGAGGGATTGAAGAAATATAGCCCATTGTTTCAACTGCAGCGCAGAAATTTAAATGCGGTGACCTTCGGATTGCAAGTCCAGTGTGTGTACCTTTGCACCAGAGCAGCATCTTGATTGTATGGAAGGATATTTATATTTTGATTTGCTCTTTGTAACTGTCGCGCATCCAACACTGAGGGTACAATTAAACAAAGCTACACGAAGCCTTGAACCGAGAAAGCAATTCACTGGAGGACACGGAGGATTCCGAGGGACGAGGCTACGACGGGTTGAGCCACCGACTGTAAACACTGGCTCCGTGGCAGGTGCGCTCAGCCCAATGGGACCGTCAGTGCACTTGGGGCACAGCAGTTCTAGGCCGCATGCCCACAGCTCGCTGAGCTGCATTGGCTTTCCGATGAGGTCGCGCTCATTAGACAGAGTTCTGGACGAATGAAACAGGATGCCTCCCTGATCTCCGGTCATCCTTGCAGTTGCCTTTAGCTATCCATCGAACAAAGACGGTAAACACATCACACGCTTTCAGATGTGCTTCTGCGGCCAGTCTGGAACGCTCTTCCGATATAAGGAAGCCACTTTTAAATCGTCTGGAATGAAAATGTATTTGTTTTGGAACTGCTTTTTGTGTTTAGTTTGTTGTCCTTGCCCACCGCACCTCCAATTAGCATGGTTGGCTACGTACAGTGTGAAAGAAGTGCAACAGGCATACAAAAACACACACAAATACCCCCTTATAGCCTTAACAAACTCGGTTCGGGCAAGTGCTATTAGCGAGCACCTATAAAGGACGGCGCGGCACACGCAATATAAAGACACAGACACACACACATATGCAATTAGCCATCGAAATGGAATAGCGTGTCTCCTGTGGGTGTGAATCCACCTTGTCCATCTGCTCCCGCAAGGAAGGAAGGAGCCAGCAGCTGTGAGGTCCGCTCCCAGGGCCACCCGACTTCAAAAGCTCCCCCTTGTTCTCGCGCCTGGCAAACTCCTCGGGTGAGAGGTTCACTGTGAGGGGAGTGCCAGACACCGTCGCAGATATCCACGAGAGTTATCACGTCGCGGTAGTCTCGTAGATTACATACACAATCAATAAACACACACGTGCATCAGCCTGTACGATGCCTTGTCGCACTGCGTCACACAGGAAACAACATCTCCCATTCATGTTCGTGTCACCGCTTAATTCACACTGGATTTTTTTAAAGGTACGTTTTACTGGCACGAGCGGTGCAGACCGCATCTCCCACGTTGGAAGCAGCGGTAGGAGGCCGCGATGCGAGCTGGAGCGCAGCGTCCCGAGGAGGTCATGGAGACTTCGACTCGCACGGTTGGCTACGTACGGTGCGATAAAAGTTCAACATGCATACGTACAGACGAACGAGACAGCACAGCACACAGCTGACGACTATCACCGTCCAAACGTTGGAGGGCACTCGCCCGCTCTGCCCTTACGTACCCCCCCCCCCGCCCCCCGGCCCCCGATGTTTCCTTATCCCTGGTGGTTACATACAATACGGACAGCTGGGAAGGGAGGAATGACCACCCATAGAGCAGAGGTTGACAAAGGGGATGACCGAGAGGAGTCGGTGGTCGTTTCAGCGGCAAAATGGGGAGAGACGGCAACAGGGTGGAAAGGAAAGGCCAAGGGCTGGTCGTTGCCGCCACGTTACAACGCTGGAGACACTGCAATGAAGAGGTTGATGGGGAAGCAGTTGAGCAACACGAAGACGTTTTAAATTTGGCCCCTCTTGTCGGTCCATCAAAGGGGCCCGCAGCAGGGGCGTGAATCATTCCTACCGGCCCCCCTGAATTGTTCCCACCGCCCCCCCTGAATCGTTCCCACCGCCCCCCCTGAATCGTTCCCACAGGCCCCCCATTAATTGTTCCCACCGGCCCCGGTTAGCCTCCACGGTGCAGGTGGAAGCTGAACGGGGCCAGTGCCACTTGGTTGAGCTGTCATTTGTGATAGCCAGGACGCTTATGAACATGAGCCACATAGCTCAGTGGTTCCTTAGCTGGTAAACTAAAACACAGTTTAGTTTAATAGGTCACAGTGAAGGTCGAGGAGCACCACCTGGAAGACAGTGGACCATGTCCTGGTACTGCCTGGCGAGCAGCGGGCCCAGGTGCCGTGCCACCAGGCTGGGCAGCACGACGACGGGGCGGCGTGCCGTCACTCGGTGGGGCGTCACCAGCGTGTAGGGCAGCCAACCCCCACTGTCTGCAGGAGGAGGAGGAGGGGGAAGGAGCGGGGGATGCACTCCAGGTGTCTCATTGTACCCCCCGCGTAGATTAGTGCAACGTACGGGTGGCTAGGAGATGTTAACTCCCTCGCCTGGTATGCAGTAGGTCGTGGGTTCGATCCCGACCCTTACGACGCCTGTATATATTTGGAGTTTGCGTGTCTCTCGCTCTCCCCGTGGTCACGTGGGGTTTTCTCCGGGTTCTCCGGTTTTTCCCTCCACGTTTAGAGTATTTGGCTGCTATAATAATGCTTTTTTGTTTACAGTTTTTAATAAGTCACACGGGACTAACTGCAACTGCTCATTGAGCTACTTGCGACTGTAATCCGCACGTGTGGAATGATCCGGTGTTACCCGAAACACGTGAGGGTGACCACGCCAGATCATCACACGAGTTCCCTCGATTGGATTATGATAATTATCATTCAACTGCACAGAGTCTACAAATCTCCCTTCATGCCTTAGGCTTATACTGGTGTAGTGACATCGCGGGATGTCACTGTGTAGTGCCGGCCCTAGAAAGGCACGGCGTGCGATGTAACGACATCGCGGACGCCACGATAGTGTGGGTGGGCTCGGTGAGTACTGGTTGATAGCTCTAGATGGCATCATGCTTGGCGTGCAGTGCCAGCCCTACAGGACAGGGTGTGGGAGTGCCGGCTGTAGGAATGAGGTTACTAAAGGCCATGGCACTCTGGTCTACAAAGGGGCCCCAAGTGGGAGCTGGGGGTGGTCACGTGGTCGGGGTCCAGATCCTGCTCGAGGATTCTGGAAGGTGGTAGTGGCTGAGCCAGCCACGCCGCAGAGAATATAAGCCGGGTCCCCCAGAGGGGCCGGCGTTGTTGTTCATCCTGAAGAAACCTTCGTCTATGTCCTACGTTCTCCGAGCCTCCAACACGTGGACCTAGACCCAAGCTGTGGTCCCGGTCTGTAGTAGCTAGTTACATTGTGATTAGTGTAGTTAGCCTGGTGGTCACCACCATAGGTTGTTATTATGTTAAGGGGAAGTTACCCCGTGTGTTGGTGCTAAATAAATGTGTTGCCTCCAAGTGTACGTCTGCAACTCGGTTGAACTCAATACACTGGTATTCCACCACTGCCTCTCTTTACTGTTGAGACAAACATCAAACACCGAATGAAAGCATTCAGCTTAATCTAATACGAGGCAAAGCAATAAACTTGAAATCTGCGCCAACCGTGACTCGGTAGTGACGTACGAGAGAGGCGTGGTGGCGCAGCCTTGCCCCTCTCTGCTCTCCGTGGCCTCTCTCATCACTCTTGCTTCCCACTCGCACTGCCGCTGCCCCCATTGGTTTTGGTGCCATTTCTTTATTAAATATTTTCTTTGCTTGGTCAGAGAGCCGGACTCAGGCACAGCAACTCGAGAAGAAGCTCCTCGCCTTTGAATACAGCTGGATTTCAATGACACTCCACCACCAAGTTTCCCAGCTTGGTTGGGGAAGTGGTGACTGTGGTCTGGGATCTGTGGCAGTGGACCTCATGAGCTCATCACTCTGTTGTGATAACTCTTCTAGTTTTTTGTGCTTTTGTTTCGGTGCCATTTCATAATTAGTTCATGAATTATTTTTGTTAGTCTTCTTGGTAGCAGGGTTTTGATTTGCTTGGTAATGGCCATATATGGTACTTGGGTCCTTATATATAATTAACGTACAGCGTTATGGGATGCTATTAGATTGAATGATGCGAGATAAAATGAAAGTATTTTTTATTTGTGTGCATGATTGTGCGAACCTTGTAATACTGCATCGGTGTGGACCCGCAATCTCATTCTGTCTTACGAAACTCCTATCAGCATAATTTAAGGAATCAACTTCTTAATCGGATGCTGCCACTCTAGCCATAAGAGATAACCTAAACTCTGTGCAGAGATATCCCCACGACCTAATAGCGTGCGAGCGCGAGTACACGTGCGTATGCCCACCACCTCCGGTGTGTGAGTTTTGCAAGCGTTTTACGCACTTGTCTCTCGCACGGACGGCCAGCCTCCTTGTCTGTTGGCTCGTACAAAACGAACAATTTCGACTCTCCTGGAACGGAAAATCTGCAACCAAGCCAGAGGGGAGCTTGAAATCTCAGCTGTAACACCACAAAACAACTCGATAATGGACAGATGATTGACACCCTTAATTTAAAACCAGCCGCGACTTCACCGAGTCTCATGTTGCTGCATCCGCACACACCGTGTCCAGACACGTCCTGTGCCGTGCCACGTCAGAGCCGTTATCGATAACGTGGCATTCGGGTAAACTCTGGGCTGTAATGGGCATCCCCCCCCCCCTTCAAAGATGGACTGCCTGGACCCGCTCCAGCCCAGCACCGTACGTAGCCAACTATGCTAATTGGTGGTGCAGAGGAAGGACGATAAACTAAACGCAAAAAGCAGTTAGAAAATAAATGAATTGTCAATCTAGATGGCTTAAAAGTGCATAAGCTCCAGTGACTTCCTAATATCAGAAGGAAGAGGATTTCAGCCGGCCGCAGAAATGCATCTGAAAGTGCGCGATACGGCGACCGTCTTTTGTTCGATGGTTAGCCAGAAGCTGCCACCGCTTGCTGCGAGGAACAACAATAACAGAGAGGAAGTAGCCTGCTGTGTCGGAGCGTAACAATGAGTTTTACGTTAAAACGCATGTGAACCGAGTGCAGACGATTAACCTGGCTCCATGACTGTTGAGCACCATCGCCGGAGCCTCCCATCAGCCGCTTCTGTTTCACAAGAAGCAGCATCTTCGCCCTGAACCACGCGACCAGACAAAGCCACCGGGCACAACAAAAACAGAGTTACAGCAGCGGTTTATGACACTCACAACAAGCCACGTGTCCATTGAGACACAGCAACCAGCCACATTGACAAGACACGCCGCGGCCAGAGGTAAAGACGGGAAACCATCTTAAAGCACGACTTTGATTCACGTGTTTAGGATTTATTTATGAAGGTTCCGGGAATCAGTTAGTCAAATGAAAAGTAGAGACTAAAGGTACAGCAATTAGAGGCACAGCGACAACAAACACACCGACATCCGAAAGGGCACAGAAGGGATGGCCAACGACGTACGCCATGACGACTGTTACAAAGTAGACTCTCACGGCAATGAGCCGCTCAATCCCACCGCTCTCTTTGGACAATGCACCCGACTCGGGCCGTCTACCGGACGCTGCTGTGATGATGCTCTCACTATTGGCCGCACCGAACCGGGCTTCACAGCACCAAGAGGTGAAACCCCCGCAGACGACGCAACTGAACGTCTGAGTGTCTGAGCGTGTGAGCATCCGAGCAAGCATGTGTGATCATTGTGGTCTCTTGTTTGAGAGCTTCAATGGCAGAATTGCATTGTGGGATACAAATATGAACGGTGTCACTGCTTGTGGAATGACAACCAACATTTACCGAAAGAACCAAGAATATGAACCGACCTACTGTGTGCAGAGAGCACTATCATATGGCTCTCAATGCAGTGTCGTGCATTCAATAATATGAAGAAGATTGTGGACCGCAATTACCAATCGCGGGAATTATTAAGTCTACTCCTGTTTTGGCCTACAGTCCTCGTAAGATGCATTCAGTACCGCAGAGCTAGAGATGATCCGGCGTGACGCGATGGGAAACGGGATTACCAGCCTGTTGCCTTCGTTATTTATTCCTCAATGTGTTCACCACCATCATTGTCCTCTACCCTGCTCACTGTGTCACCCATCCATTAGCGTGTCCTCACTGTGTCACCCATCCATTAGCATGTCCTCACTGTGTCACCCATCCATTAGCGTGTCCTCACTGTGTCACCCATCCATTAGCATGTCCTCACTGTGTCACCCATCCATTAGCATGTCCTCACTGTGTCACCCATCCATTAGCATGTCCTCACTGTGTCACCCATCCATTAGCATGTCCTCACTGTGTCACCCATCCATTAGCATGTCCTCACTGTGTCACCCATCCATTAGCATGTCCTCACTGTGTCACCCATCCATTAGCATGTCCTCACTGTGTCACCCATCCATTAGCGTGTCCTCACTGTGTCACCCATCCCTGAACGTGTCCTCACTGTGTCACCCATCCCTGAACGTGTCCTCACTGTGTCACCCATCCCTTAGTGTGTCCTCACTGTGTCACCCATCCCTTAGCGTGTCCTCACTGCGTCACCCATCCCTAAGGGTATCCTCACTTTTGATAGTTGGGTACCATGCCTCGTTGCTTGTGCTCCAGGGTTTCTGGATCAATCTTCCAGGCATGCCACGACTCGTTGTTCTTCCAATGAAAGTCTATTAACGGACCACACACATTCATCATTACAATGGATTTGACAAAGTCCACTGCCATTCGTAATAAGGGTAACGCTCTCTAACTTGCACCTGCCGAAACGTATTAGGATATTGTGAAAGGAAAACTATTTTTACATCAAGGGGCAAAAATGTGACGCAAGTGGTAAAACACTCAGTCCTTTAAGTTTATTGAGGCATCTGACAGGGATTGCACAAAACCTTTCCCACTTTTCACCCAGGCAACTGGAGAGCAGCACAGACTGAGTGTTATTCACCTAACATTCACATTATTAGCACGGTTGGCTATGTACGGTGTGAAAAAAGTTCAACACACATACAACATATTTAGGAATCCCAATTAAGAGAGACCCCACCAAAGGATGGTAACCTTATCGTGGTGGTGGGGTTTGTGTGTTACAATGACCCTCAAGAGCTATGTGGCCTGGAGTCTTGTACTCCTGGTGGGGTCTCCCTTGGCGAACAGGTCTGGGGGGTGGTTCCAGACAAATAACGGTCTCAAAGAAGCCCCTCATGAATGGTTAAACAATACAAAAATCAGAGAACCTCGCCCAGACAAGGCATACCGGGACACACCCCTGGAGCCAGGCCTGGGGGTGGTGTTCGCTGGCAAGCGCCTGGTTACCCCACGTAACCCGGTCGGGCCTAGCCCAAAATGGCTATGTGGCACTGTCCTGTGGGCCCACCATCCGCAGAATGAAGGGTGAGGGGCGGGTGCGATGCCAGTGTGGCAGGAAGAGGGATAGTCTCAGACGGACGGGACCTTGGCGATGGACACTAGCTACTGGGACGTGGAATGTCACGTCACTGGAGGGGGGGGGGGGGGAAGAAGCCAGGGCTGGTGGAGGAGGTGGAAATGTACCGACTAGATATAGTTGGTCTCACCTCCACACACAGCATTGGCACTGGAACCAAACTTCTCGATCGGGGTGGTCTCTCTCCTATTCCAGAGTAACCCCTGGTGAGAGGACCTGGGCAGGTGTGGGGATACTCACAAGCCCCCAGCTGGGTGGTGTTCAGTTGGAGTTTGTCCCAGTGGATCAGCGGGTCGCCTCAATGAAACTTCGGGTCTTAGAAAAGAAAACTCTGACTGTTGTCTGTGCTTATGCACCAAACAGCAGTTCAGAGTATTTGGCCTTCTGGGAGATTGTGGGTGACGATGGAGATACCTGGTGAATGGGAGGAATGGCCCTCCTGATCTGAACTCGAATGTTGAGATATTATTGGAATTCTGCGCTCGTTACAGGAATGTCAGTAACAAACACCACGTTTGAACACAAGGATGCTCATAAGTGTACTTGGTACCAGAACACCTTGAGCCGAAGGTCAATTATTCACTTTATAGTTGTATCATCGGACCTAAGGCAGTCGGGTGAAGAGAGGGGCAGAACTGCCAACTGATCACCACCTGGTGGTAAGTTGGATCTGACGCTTGGGGCACTGACAAGATAGACGTGGAAGACCCAAAACGAATAGTGCGGGTCTGGTGGAAGACCCGGTGCAGAAATATTTCAACTTCCACCTCCGGGAAAACTTTTCCTGCACTCCAGGGGAGGTCGTGGACATTGAGTCAAAATGGATGATGTTCAAATGCCCGATTGTGGATGCAGCTGTGAAAGGCTGTGGCCTGAAGGCAGTTGGTGCCTGTCATGGCAGGAACCCTAGGACCCAGCGGTGGTAACCAGTGGTGAGGGAAGCTGTCAAGTTGAAGAAGGAGGCTTTCCGAGCTATTATCGGAAAAAGGTCTCCCGACTCGATTGAGAGGTACTGGCTTGCCAAGAGGGCAGCAGCGTTAGCGGTCGTTGAAGCAAAAGCCTGGGCATGGGAGGAGTTTGGAGTGGCCATGGAGAGGGACTATCGGGCAGCCTCAAAGATCTTGACTTAAAGCTTTCGTGACTGCAGGAATTCATATTCTTTGGGTCTTTTGGTAAAGTCACGTAGATAGGTTCAAAGAAAATAACAAAAAAATATGATGTTTTGATCGTCATCACTTGTGTTGCGATCGAAACGTCATAGTTTTTTGTTATTTTCTTTGAACCTATCTACATGACTTTACCGAAAGACCCAAAGAATAAGCCTCAAAGATGTTCTGGCAAACTGTCCGACGCCTTAGGAGGGGTCAACGAGACATGGCCCAGGCTGTTCTTCGTAAGGGCGGCATAACATTGAACTCAACTAAGGAAATAGTCAAGAGGTGGAAGGAACACTTTGAGGAGCTCTTCAACCCAGTAGACATGCCCTCCTCTCAGGAGGCAGCACTGGAAACAGCTGCGGGGGTCGGATCCATCACGGTCGCTGCGGCGATCGAGGGACTTCATAGTACACGTTCTATCGACGTGACTTTACCGAAAGAACCAAAGAATAGGCCTTTGTAGTGGCAAAGTTTCTGGGGTGGACGAGATTTGCCCAGAGCTGTTGAAAGCGCTGGACAGTGTAGGAGTGTCATGATTAACATGCATATGCAATGTTGCATGGAAGGCTGGTACAGTACCTCTGGATTGGCAATCTGGGGTCGTGGTTTCCATTTTTTTGAAAAGGGGACCAGAGGGTGTGCTCCAACTCCAGAGGGATCACACTCCTGAGCGTCCCAAGTAAAGCCTATGCCAGACTGCTGGAGAGGAGGCTCCACCCGGTGGTCGTGCCTCAGATTCAAGCGGAACAATGCAGATTACATAATGGTTGTGGAATAATGGACCAGCTCTTTTCCCTCTCACAGATATTTGAAGGGTCATGGGAGTACGCTTCTCCACTCTACCACTGCTTTGTAGACTTTGAGAAAGCATATGACCGTGTTACCCCACAAAGTCTTGTGGGAGCTGCTGCGGGAGTATGATGTACCGGTGCCACTTTTGTGCACTATCCGGTCCCTCTATTCCTGGAGTAAGAGCTGTGTCTGTATTCTTTGTGTTAAACCAAAGTCGTTCGCTGTGGGTGTTAGACTCCGCCAAGGGTGTGTCTTGTCTCCGTGCCTGTTTGTGATTTTCATGGACATGATATCAAGGCGCAGCCAAGGTACAGTATCCAGTACGGGGCATGGAGGTGGCGTCGCTGATTTTTTGCAGATGACGTTGTCCTCTTTGCCTCATTAATCTGTGATCTCCAGCATGCACTTGAACGGTGGGATGAGGATCAGCACCTCCGATACTGAGGTCATGGTTCAATCCCAGGAGACGGTGGATTGTTCTCTCCAGGTGAGGCGGTAACAGCTGCCCTTCGTCGAGGAGTTTAAGTACCTCGGGGTCTCTTTCGCAATTGAGGGTAAGTGGGAAAAGGAGATCAGCCGGCGGATCGGTGCGACGTCCGCAGTGATGCGGGCGCTGTAACGTTCAATGGTAGTGAAGCAGGAGCTGAGTTCTCGAACAAAGCAGTCGGTTTACAGGTCGATCTACGTTCCCACCCTCACCTATGGTCATGAGCTTTGGGTAATGACCGAAAGAATGAGATCATGGGTACAAGGGGCCAAAATGAGGTTTGTCCGCAGGGTTGCCGGGCTCACTCTCCGTGATCGGGTGAGGACCTCAGTAATCTGGGATAGCCTCAGAATTGAGCCGCTGCTCCTCTGGATCGAGAGGAGCCAGTTGAGGTGTTTCGGGCACCTGGTAAGGACGCCCCCCGGTAGACTCCCCCTGGAACTCTACCAGGCTCGACTGGCCTGGGGACGCCTGGGAATTCCTAAGGAAATGCTAGAATCTGTCGCCAGGGAAAGGGAGGTCTGGACCGCCCTACTCAACATGCTGCTGCCGTGACCCTCACCAGAACAAGCGGACTGATAAATTAACGAAACGAACGAACGAATTAAGAGACAATAAAAGAAATATACTATTAAAACAGAAGAATTAAAATAAAAAATAATAATTTCAAATCTCATCAATGATGTATGTACAGTATGTTGAACTTCTTTCACACCGTACGTCGCCAACCGTGTAATCAGAGGTGCAGAAAAATGATGATGGTGATGATGATAACGGAAATGGTGATAGTGATGATGGTGATGATGACGAGGATGATGATGGCAATGATTATGATGATGATGGCGATGACGACGCTTCTTGCCTGAGTCCCCGTCCAGGGAGTGGCTGGCCTTGGTGCAGCGGGGGAGGTCGGAGGGGGACGGCACGGAGTTGGTGATGTGCAGGTAGTCCCCACACAGCACGGGCAGGGCACAGTTGTCTGTCTCTGGCGACAGCGAGAAGTGGATCTGCACGTAGAAGGAATCCCCAATGTCTGGGTTGCTCAGCACCTTGGCAAACCCTGGAGAGGGAAGTTAAACAAAGGCGAGGAAGCCGCTGTATCGCTGTGAAGATTGGAGAAAAGCTCACAGTGAGACGATGTACATTGTACACGTGCACAGGTGTAAAATGTACACTTTTGCACACTGTCAATCTAATGGTGACATTTTCTGCACGTGTTTTTGTATTACTGCACCCAAGGAAAACGTTTATGCTGCTGCTTTTCTGGCCTTTTCATCTTTCAAGTGTCACCTTATCACCTCAATTAACAATAGTATTTACGACACACGACAAGAGCATTAAACACGACTCAGGAGACAATTGTAAGGACAACAGACGCAGTGTTCCTTGTGGCTATTCTCTCCTATTCTGTCGACATCTTCGCTGTCAACCTCTTAATTTTACCTCAGCCGAGCGACGTCTGGGAAGAACGCACGAGAGACGTTCCTAATTCGGCCGAATTGGAAATGGTTTCATCAACCTGTTTAAGTGACGTCATGTCTAGAACAGGGGCCACGTTACATGAATCCGCAAGCGCTGTCCGTATTAGGTGTCAAATTAGTTACGGTAAACCAGCTGGGGCAAGCATGGCCCCGAATGCATGTACGTGCAGTAGTCCCTCGGTGAACGGTGAAACCGGTTAACGTATTTCGGTGAACGTCTCGCCTCCGATAGGACCCCATGGTTTTGACTGACGTTAACGTTTTGATTAACGACACTTTTACGTTATGCACGCGGGCGCAAATTTCGGCCAATCCGAGAGCTCATAAGGGGGGCTGGGCCATGCCTCAGCCAATCAGCGACGCCCATTTATGAGCGTTTAGACCTGGACTGGCTTTGTTTACATTGCGTTTTCTGTTTTGGTAGTGAAAACAGCTCTCTTGCAGACTCAGTGATACTTTACTTATTTTTCAACTTAGAAGTGAATTAGATGAAAGAGTTATTTCGGGAAACAGTAACTTTCGTTACACGTGTAATAAAAGGACTCGGACACTTCTTTCTGTCTTCGTGTCTTTTATTGGGTTCTCGTCTTCACCCACACGGCACTCTGTTATAACTCTGTATTTGTAGCCCCCGGCTATTCACTGCTATTATAGCTTCTTCTTCCCTCTGACTCTCTGCTTCATCTACTGTAACCTCCTCCCTGCAGACTCGCTGCTGCCTCTATGCAGACTCCCGCTGCTACCCTTATGTGCAGACCCTCTGGCTGCTACCGTATGCAGACCCGCTGCTGACTCTGTATGCAGCCCCGCTGCTGACTCTCTGTGCAGCCCCGCTGCTGACTGCAGCCTCCTCGCTGCTTCGGGTCGGTCACCGCTGGCCAACGGTGCCGATCCTCGCTCCCCCCGTGTTCGTGGCGATCTCGCCACCCTCCGCTTCGCCCTTCGTGGCCTCTCTCTGTTCCTGGTTCCCCGTCACTGCCCATCCTCTTCCGGTTCCCCTCCTTCTATACTCAACCCCTCTCCCCCCCACGTGACCTAACTCCTCCCCTCATGACGGCACCTCCGGAGGGCCGTTTACACCCGCATTACATCACCCTCCCCCATAAAGAAAATCCAGCCGACCTCGGCTGAATTGCAACCTGAAAAGCAATGCGGGTGTAAAGGGCCAACACGTAAAAAGACACGAAGCATGCAAGAACAATATAACAATGAACACAACACAACACAATCTAACGAAACGTGAGGGATTTCGAGCGAGTACGGGTAGCCGGGCCGTCCCGGACGGTCGGCAGCCCACCCGCCGAGCGGGAACGTGGAAGGGTTTTAGGGGCGACGGGCGCAAGTTCTTCCGTCGCCATTGGAGGCCCGCCACTGTCCCGCTCGCGTCCAGAGACATCCCGTACTCGCGTCCGCGGAGGGATAGGAAGAGCTGCAGGTCCCGTGGGTTCCGCGGCACCGGTCGGCATCCCACGAGCGGAACGTCCTCCTCCCTGCGCTGTCACGGCCGGCTTGTCTGTGAAGGGTACGACAGGCGCTTTCGCAAGGTCAGCAGACACAGGCAAGGGCGAGTCGGCAGCAACAGACCCCGGCAAGGCAACTTCGGGAGATGACGCATCCGGCCGCGGGGCAATGTATGGCTTCAACCGGGATGTATGCACGAACCAGCGCCGCGAACCAACCTGAACACGCGCCGACTGTGGGTTGGGAACCTCAATGAGGCGGACCGGACCTTGCCACGGTTTGTGTAATTTAGGAGAGGTACCTGGCCGCACCTGTGGGCAATGAAGCCAGGCCAGGTCCCCCTTCTTCCAGGGGCACTCCCCCTTCGAACGTCGGGCACACCGCTCATTCCTGGCCTGAGCTTTGGCTGTAGCCATGCGGGCTCTTTCCCTCGCCTCAGTGACACGGCGAACGTTGTCCTGAATATACTCAGGAAGAGGCTTAACAGGCCCCCTCGCACCGGTTCCCAACTGCTCATTAATCGGCGGCACATTCTCACGGCCGTACATAAGGAAGAACGGCGAGTATCCAGTAGCCGCGTGCGGCGTCATGCGATACGCCGAAAGCACCCCAGGGATATGCAAATCCCAATCAGATTGATTTTCCCCGACTGTATGGCACAGCATGGCGGACAGAGTCCGATTCAACCGTTCCACCATCCCATCCGTTTGTGGGTGGTAGGGGGACGTCCGTATCTTTTTAGTTCCCAAAGCCGCACACACCTCCCCCAACAATTTGGACGAAAAGTTACGCCCCTGATCTGTAAGGAGCCTCTCCGGCGCCCCCTTGTCCATTACATACCCAAATAGAAAGGCGTCAGTGATAGACGCCGCTGACTGGTCAAGCAAAGGCCAGGCCATCGGCCAGCGAGAGAGGTACTCCACCCCCACCAGTAAATACTTATTTCCCTTAGCGGATGGCGGAAAGGGTCCCAAAATATCTAACGCCACCAGCTCATTAACCCGAGATACTTGAATCGATTGTATCGGCGGAACATATGGATGTTTAGGTGGTTTACGGCGGGCACAATCGGGACACGCGCGAACGTGACCGACGACATCCGTCGTCATGCCGTGCCAATAATAGTCTCGTTGCAGCGTCAATAGGGTTTTCTGCACCCCCAGGTGTAAAAGTGTGTCACAGTGCAAAGATCTAATCAACTCGTACCGCAATGACGCAGGCACAACGAGACGCCAGTGTTCCTGTATCCCTTCCCTCCACATCAGTAACCCATCTCGGAGAGCAGTTTCCGAAATACCACCCGCACCGAGTTCCTTACCCGCCTTCTCCGTTCGTTTTCGTAACGACACCAAAGAATCGTCCAACATTTGCTCCCGAATCCACACAGACCTCGGAAGACGCAAAATCCCGTCAGCCGGTCCCCCATCAACCGGTCCCGGTGTAAGCGGAGTTTCGAGAACATCCACCGCCAGCGCGACAGGCTGAGGGGGGGGCTGAGTCGGTCCACACCTATGCGTCCCCGACGCACACGCACAAGGGGATTGTTGCGGCAACCTGGACAGTGCGTCCGCGTTAGCGTGACGCACACCCTTCCGATGGTGAATTTGGAAGGAAAATTCTTGCAACGTGTCCAGCCATCTCGCCAATTGTCCGGATGGCTGGTCCATCTTAAGAGCGTACTGTAAGGCCGCATGGTCCGTGCGGACAATAAACGACCGACCGTACAGATACGGTCGAAATTGGCGGAGAAAAAACACAATAGCCAAAAGTTCCCTGCGAGTGACGCAGTAACGGGTTTCCGCGGGAGACAAAACTCGACTCCCATACGCCACCACACGCTCAACACCACCTTTTGACTGGGACAACACCGCCCCAATACCAGTGTCACTCGCATCAGTATCCAGAATGAAGGGATGTTCAAAATCCGGATAATCCAACGTCGGCGCAGTAGCCAATAAATCGCGCAGGCTCCGAAACGCCGCCTCCTCCGGCGGTCCCCACACAAATTTATGCCCCTTCCCAGTAAGGAGATGTAAAGGCCTGGCGATAGTAGCGAAATTCGGAACAAACCTCCGATAATATGAGGCGAACCCCAAAAACCGACGCACATCACCCACCGTGGCCGGGGTTGCCCAATCCCTGACACACGCAGTTTTCTCTGGATCCGTGGCCACCCCGTCCGCACTAACAATATGTCCCAAGTATCGAACGGAGCGTTGCAGTAGATGACATTTCTTAGGCTTGAATTTCAAATTAGCAGAACGCATTCTGGCAAACACAGCCTCCAACCGCAGTAAATGCTCATCAAATGTGCGGCTGAAGACAATAATATCATCTAAATAAATGAGACATGTCTCCCACTGCAACCCCGTCAACACCAACTCCATCAATCGCTGAAAAGTGGCAGGGGCTGCATTCAACCCCATCGGCAGACAGTTAAATTGGAATAACCCCTGCGGCGTACGGAAAGCTGTCTTTTCCCGCGAGGGCTCGTCAAGGGGGAGCTGCCAGAAGCCCGAAGAGAGATCTAGCGTTGAAAAAAACTTAGCCCCTGACAAGGCGTCGAGAGAATCGTCCATACGCGGCAGGGGATACGCATCCGCCACCGACACTTTATTCAACTTCCGAAAATCGACACAAAATCGCAATTTACCATCCTTTTTTTTAACCAACACAACAGGCGCGCCCCACGGGCTATTAGACGGAGATATAATATCCGCTTTCAACATGTCTTCGACCGCCCCTCGAACATGCTCACGCTCAGCCGGACTCATCCGATGCGAGTTCAAGCGGATAGGGGCAGCGTCCCCCGTGTCGATATGATGAGAGAGCAGCGAGGTGCGTCCCAAGTCCAAATCGTCCGAGCTAAACACATCGGAATAGCTCGATAATAATTTATGAATCGCACAACGCTGCTCGGCGGAAAGGGCCGAATTTTCCCCACATAATTCGGCGATCCAACGATCATCAACCCCTCCATCGTGTGAAACACCACCCACCAGCCCCCCGTCCGGCAGGTCACTCTGAGCCGTAAACGCCGTAGTGGCATGTGCCACAACGGTACCAGCCGGCACACACACACTTTCAGTACTCGCATTTAATACCTGCAAAAACGGGCGCTGATCTGGACGGACAATAGTTTGCGCCCCCACCAGCGCCAATCCGCCCGTAACAGCGGCGGACGGCGACAGCAAAATCCCAAAAGCACCCTGCCGACCCGGAACCGGCTTCCGGTATCGTAAGGGAATGAGCATCTGCGAGCCAGGTGGAATATCAACCGAAACTTCCGATAACGCCTGCACCTGGGCAACCGGAGCCGGCCGCCCCCAGGCGGACTGTAAGAACGCCAATTTCCGGCCCCCTGGTAGTTCAATGCAATTTTCATTAATTCTAATTAGAATGGGCATCTTAGCCAAAAAATCCGTACCCAACAGGCAAGGAACCGCCAGGGACCTCGAAATTAACACAACACCCGAGGCCGAAACACCTCCGATAGAAATGTTAGCGTCCACCTGTCCCACGATGCCCATACTACCCCCGTTCGCAGCGATGCAGGAAGCGTAAGCCGGCCTCACGGCCCCCGGTGGGATGTTCAAAAGATGGAATATCACATCCGAAATAATGGTCGCGGACGCCCCGGAATCCACCAAAATACGTACATCCACCCCTTGGATCGACCCCGGTACAGTGGACGAACCGGTAGCAGCCGCGACAACCCGCCGAGCCAGCTTACGCCACTGCGTTATCGAGCGACAAGGCGCAGATACTGGCCTCCCGTATTTTACAACATCCGCGTCGCATAATAACGGCGATGAGTGAGGTGTCAGGCCTTGCCGGGTGTCTGGTGCGCACCGACTTGCCTGTGCCGGAGGGTCTTTCTTTGGGGCGTCCGCTGTCGAGGCCTCCTGCTGGGGCGGCCCCGGAACCCGGGCCCAGCAGTCCCTGGCATAGTGGCCCCGACGGCCGCAGCGGAAGCAGTCGACGTCGGGGCGGCGCGCAGCGGGCACCCCGTCCCGACGCGGCCGCACCGGCGGCGGAGCCCGCGGCCCCGGCCCGCTCCGGGCCGGCCACGGAGTGGAGGCAGCCGACAACTCCTTCTGGCCGGTCGCATCCGGCACGTACACGGCCTTCGTAGGGTCCCACCCTACGGCCCCCCCATCGACGACAGGACCGCCCGTCCACGCCGTCACCTGTTTCCAGCGGCGGAGATTGAACTGTGCGTCCAAACACTTGGCCGCGGTCCGGGACGTGAGTTTTTCGTGACCGCACGCCGGCATAGGAATGCCGAGATCCCGGGACAACTCCAACATCTTCCCCAAGATGAGTGGTTCCAGCAGGTCAGGCTCCGTCTCCGGGTAAGCGGCCATAGCGAGTTCCAACACGGCGCCCCTGTACGCTACAGGTGACTCCTCAGGTGCACGTTGCCGCTGCACGAATCGGCGATGGGCGTCATCCGGTGGCTCGTACGCGTCCGCCATTTCATCGAACACCCCTCGCAGAGTTTTCTTCTTCGCAGCTTTTATAGAGCGAAAAAAACGAACGGACTCATCATCAAGAAGAGTCGGGAGCACCTCCAGTGCCTCAGCGTCCGTCCACCTTGCCGTACGTACCGCCGCCAAAAATCTACAGGCGAACGCACTCCAATCGCCCCCGATGGAGAACTCTTTGACGGTTGTAAGGTGACGACTGCGACTCCTTGGCTTGCTTCCGTCCGTCGCTGACTCTTCCGGCGGTAAGTTCAGCAAGGCGTCGCAACGCTGTGTCGCCAAAATGGCGGACGATCCTCGCGGCGGCCCCAAAATGGCGGCTTCCCGCCTTCCGTGGTGCGCCACGCCCAAGATGGCGTCTTCACGCCGCGTGGCCGATGGCGGCGCCATCGAAGACGACCCGGGCTCCTGCCGATCACCACCATCACCTTCCAACGCCGCCCTTGGCGTGACAAGGTCACACAACTCTGTGATGACGGTTTTTAGGGTTGCCAGTTGCTCCGCCATCCGGGTCCATCTTAAATCTTCGTCCTTCAACGCAGATGGGTCGGACGAAGGGGCCACCTCCTCGACGCCCGGGCCCTCACGGATCTCTCCCTCCGCCGAAGTGAAGCCGACCGCAGGAGGAAGATCGTCGTCGTCCGAAGATGAAGCCGACGCCGGGGATGGAATATTCTTTTTCCTCAGTTGTTTCGCCATGCCGTTTCACTTCTGACTCCAGTGTAATAAAAGGACTCGGACACTTCTTTCTGTCTTCGTGTCTTTTATTGGGTTCTCGTCTTCACCCACACGGCACTCTGTTATAACTCTGTATTTGTAGCCCCCGGCTATTCACTGCTATTATAGCTTCTTCTTCCCTCTGACTCTCTGCTTCATCTACTGTAACCTCCTCCCTGCAGACTCGCTGCTGCCTCTATGCAGACTCCCGCTGCTACCCTTATGTGCAGACCCTCTGGCTGCTACCGTATGCAGACCCGCTGCTGACTCTGTATGCAGCCCCGCTGCTGACTCTCTGTGCAGCCCCGCTGCTGACTGCAGCCTCCTCGCTGCTTCGGGTCGGTCACCGCTGGCCAACGGTGCCGATCCTCGCTCCCCCCGTGTTCGTGGCGATCTCGCCACCCTCCGCTTCGCCCTTCGTGGCCTCTCTCTGTTCCTAGTTCCCCGTCACTGGCCCATCCTCTTCCGGTTCCCCTCCTTCTATACTCAACCCCTCTCCCCCCCACGTGACCTAACTCCTCCCCTCATGACGGCACCTCCGGAGGGCCGTTTACACCCGCATTACACACGGATTAAAAACATTAACCGAGGTACTACTGTATGTTAAACTTCTTTCGCACCGTACATAGCAAACCGTACTAATGTATCATCGCGCCTCGTTCTAACGTAGGCACGTTCACTCTCTACGAAGTGGCAACTCCGACAATCGACCCCAGAGGAGGAATGCCTCTTTCCAAGGATGAGTGAAGTGCTTTGTCAGTCCGTTCTGGTTTGGCGCACAACGCAGAGTGGCACAAGCCAATGTGCGAGTGTCTGTGTGTGCACACAGACACTCGTTTGTAGATGGCTGCTTTAATGCTACCAGCACCAGGTCAAGTTGATTTGTTTTACCAGGTTGAGATCTGAAGAGACTAAGATAAAGTCTCACTTGCAAGAGGGACCTTGGGTCACCGCAATAGCAAAGAAAAAAACTAATTCAATAAAGTACAGTAGAACCTCGGAGATGGAACGCACCAGAACTCGAACAAATCGGTGTTCGAACGATATTTCCGAACATTTTTTGCCCCGGAAACCGAACGAAATTCGGAGGTCGAACGGGCAATCGCGACTTGAAAGAACCTGTACGGCTGAGATGCGTATGGCCAGCGTGCATGATGCTTGCCCGGACAATGGTTTTACCATCTACTCCCCCTCACCACCTTCCATTCAAGCCATCAACTCTCCTTACTACAGGTAAAGTGAAGTTCAATGTTCATTTATTCTATATATTTATTCATTTATTCCATTTATTTACTGTTTCTTGTTTTCTTGTATGATTTTATGCATATAATTACTGTAAACTTCGTGTAAAAGTGCTTTATGAGAGATTTCTTGTGTCTGGAACCAATTAATGTCATTTACATTCATTCTTATGGGGAAAATTAATTCAGTGTTCGAACAAATCGGTGTTCGAATGGCCTTCTGGAACGAATTAAGTTCCATCTCCGGGGTACCAATGTACAGCAATCTGAGCAAAAACAACTGTCACGTGAGAAATCAAATATGTTGCTCAAACATAAATCGTTTAAAGAATAACTTTCTTCGTAGCGCTGGCTCATCCAGATTATTTTTTTATACTCATCATAAACACGAAACGAATATCGTATTATTATTTGGCTGTTCAAAGTGACATGATTTGGTTTACAAGTTTGCATATGCCCCATGGTTATTATTGTTGTTGTTGCTGCTGCTGCAACCTGCTGTCCCACCCACCTTCTGGGTTGTGCTTCAGGGAGAGCGTGACCTCTGCCGTGAGATTCTGAAGGATCCACGTGGCCTCTTCTTTCGTTGTATTCTCCAGCAAAAACCTCTGTCTCTCCATCGGCCCGCGCATCTGTCCCTCCACCTGTGGAATTTGGTAACCATCTGTATTGCGCCGAGTGAGGGCATTCCCGTTTTTTCCCCGGTGCATCCTTGCAATCCCCGCGCTTTGACGTCGACATTGACGGATCGCGTAACGCAATTATCCATCACGCAAGACTCTCCATCTGAAGAGCTGCAAGGTGACGAGCGGATGGCAGTGTGCATCGAGTAGGTTCAGAACTGCGGTGACATCAACCTCGTTCTCCCTGCTAAGTGGCAGACAGAAATGTTGCCTTGAATGCTGCATCGCCGTGCTTGTGTGTGGGTGTTTGCAATACGTAGCATCGTATGCTGCAATGCAACGCACGTGAAGCCTTCACACAGAGCACAATTAAACTTACAAATGGATAAATGCATCCGTGACCTCGTGTGTAATTAATTCATTCTCGTTTATGACTAAATACATTAGCGCAGTCATGTTATATCCATGCCTTGGAACAGGGGCCGGGAAGCCGTGGCTCTTTAAGGCTTCGTGACAGTATTCGCATAGTGCATTGTGGCTCTTGAAATATCGATTTTTTTTTTTTATACCAAATTCGAAAAAATGCCTTTTCTTGTTATTTTGGTTGCCAACCCCTGCCTGGGAAAATGCCAAACTAGATAACACTCTACCACTTGCATTGTGTTCCCGTTATCAAGAATATTGTTGATGCTTTAAGTCGGCAAAATTATGTTATTCACGACCAGCTTAGGTTTCTCAGTTGTATATTTGTACAAAAAAAAACTACAGTGCACCGTACCCCAGACAAAATGATGGCGTGCCTGGACCTTACGCGGTGTGCAGGCGAAGGCCGCCCTGCGAGCGTCGGGCACACGAGTCTCACCGTCAGGATTTGGTAGTTCTCCTCCAGTCCAGTGAGGCCCGGTGCTTGGCCGTTGTGAGGGGTTTGCAGAAAGACCCCGGTCTGGTTTCCTCCGATCACAGTCACCCAGTTGATGAGGGTCTTAGCAAGAATCGTGCGATACACCACGGGCCGTATTGGGTTCTGGGGCAAATCGCTCGTCAATGGGCTGACTCGGAATGGCCTGGTGGTGGGGGAGGGGGGACATGGGGATGGCCAATTAGCAAGGACATCAGCCTCTCAACTGCATCCGAGCCCACGATGCCAGCCTTCCCAGCTGGAGCCCACTGGTAAAATCACACGTTAAGTTTTCTTCCTCTTCTTTCGTACATTCAGGTGGTCAAGCCAAACAACTGAGTCAGGAGCAGTGGAATGTACCGTTACGATGTGGATCAGGGCATTGCGCCATCACACGTTGTATGGGTTGTTCTGGATGACCACAGTCGCACACTGCAGCGTTTTTAATTTTCCATTTGTGTATTGGGTATCCGCATCTACTGCCATGGTTTGCACAGTGGATGCGATTTAGGGTGGAACATGAGCCTCGTGGAAGATCAAACGCAGGGATCTTCTGCATTGGGTCTTTCAAAAGGCGTTCAGTAACCAAGGGTTTATGTGAAACATCATGCTTTTCCACTGTGTCTGTGTCCCACGACCAAATACTAAACCAGTTTCCTTAGATCAGGTTCACTAAGGGTAAATGTACGCGTACCAAATACTTTTTCTGGCATGTTACAAATTGAACAGAAGCTAGTTATTATATACCAACCAAATAGATTTACAAAAGGGATCACTCTTAGTTTGGTCACTCTTAGCTTGGTAACTCTTAGTTTGGTTACTCTTAGTTTGGTCACTCTTAGTTTGATCTCGAGGGCATGGGGAGATACTCGTGGCTTCGGTGTGCAAAGTCAGCACAAGCCGAGTGAAGTTCACGTCTCATGGGAATGTTTTCCACATCACACAAAGACCTTTTTTTTCGTGCGAAAGTAACAAAAACCGCCATAAATGAGGGCACAATTGAGATGACTGAAATCTCTCTCCGATGTTTTCTTGAATGGTATTCACCAATTACACTTAACGTGTCACCAGCCGCTGCTGGCCAACTCCAGTGTCAATCGTGACTCACTACTACGACTCTTTTTATTTTACCAGGTAAGGCCCGCTGACTCTTTTTTCAGTCGGGTCCTGCCAAGTTTTGGTGGGGAGCGATACTGCTGCTCTGTATGTGATCCCAATTGAGTAATTTTCAGATAAGTTATGAGCATTGCGATGTTTGTGTGCTGTGCATCACTTGATACCACGGACACCACTTGCAACCATGGGATTATCCAGGTGGAACAGCATTTTAGCGAACACAAACTAAAATGTTTCATATGAGGAGATGACTTGGTGATGCTGCATTGGCAGTGGTGCACGAGCACAAATAACGAGAAAACTGAATGACATGAATCAGGGTCACCCGTGGCCTTCAAAGAAAAAAACACGATAGGAGACGTTTTGGGCTATTTGCCATGAAGAAGGCCATTGCCAGAAATGTCGCCTCGGAAAATGTTTACTTCTAAACCCACGCGGTCTTATTGATCGATACTTGTACAGCAATATCTCGATATGCGAATGTTCGATATACGCATTTTCAGTATGCCCAGGTTGAGGTTTCGGTCTATGGGTGACCGAGATTTATCCCCTGTGGCCCCCAGGCTATGGAACGCTCTTCCACGAGGAATTAGGAATCTTTGAGTGCGTGGACATTTTAAAAATGCGCCTTAAAACCTATTTATATGCTTCTGCTTATTAAACGTTTAGTTATTTTAATAAATTGTTAAAACGTATTTATAATATTATTTTTGTGCTGAGTGTCTGTTGCTGATGTGTCCTGTACAGCACTTTGAGATCCTTGATGAAAAGTGCTGTATAAATATAATTATTATATTAATGGTAAAAAATATATATAAGTAAAACAAGAAATAAATGTACAGAAATAGATAGGTGCTAAATAATTAATTTGTTGTCCATCTATAGTACTACATAAATAACAATCGAATTATTATATGATCCGGTTTCTTGAGTGTTGTGCACCCCAATAGGTCACAGAATGTTTGTTTACAATCGTCTCGGCCAAGCAGCGTGCTCTAAGGAGCAGTGGCGTTTGGTGGACAATGTAACCTCACGACTGCGCCCAAGGCTACCCTGGCGAGTGTGAACATTTTTTAACGCACAGTACACTATGTTTCTTTATGCCAAGTTTTATTTTTATTTTAATAGTATACAGTATGAAAAATACCTTATTTTCAACATAAATTGTCTTCCTTTACGATATGAATGGTGAGAGGTGTTTATAGGATGAAATGGTAAGTTACGGAGGCTGGTGACGCATTCTCATAGGACGAACGTCACAAGCGAATACGATGTTTTGACATACGAACGAAGCTCCAGGCACTAATCTACTGCGTATATATATCGAGCTACGGTGGTATGTGCGTGTTTTACCTGTCCGTCCTGCAGTCGGGAAATTTCAGCAACTCCCTTGTGTCTCTATCAGTGGAGGTCGGGTCTTCCTCCTCTGTTGCACAATGTGCACACCAGCAACAGTAACAACAACACCGCGGCCGTCTAGAGCCCTTCCTCGGGAGCTCTGCCAGCATGGGCCACTGTGTGGGCCCACACTCCGCGCCGACCGTTTGTACATTTTGCACTACGTGGGCTCTTCCACCCCCCCCCCCCCATAATGGACTCTCAGTTTATATATATATTTTATTACAAAACTGGCAAAATTAACGAAAAGATAAATATTTTAATGAAAATTAAATTATTTTATTTTACCAGGTAAGGCCCGCTGAGCCGCATAGTTATTTTTCAGAAGCGACCTGGCCACAAATGACAGGTCAACGAAGTGGCTTGTCATGTGGAAATCCACACGACCACGGGGAGAGAGACACGCAAACTTCAAATATACAGCAGCAGTCGTCAGGGTCGGGATTGAACCAACGACCTCCTGCATACCAGGCAAGGTAATTAACATCTCGCCACCGTAGCGTCAGTCTGGGGCCAGCTGCCCAGAATATCTACACCTCTGGACTGGAGATACGATGAAGCCGTCAATCACGTAAATGCAAAATGGCAACCGTTAGTGCGCTACTGCGCTATGGACTCTGGGACTATCGTTAGTAGCAAGCAATTACCCAAACCCGATCCTGCCATCTCCCTGCGCCCCCGCCCCACCTCATTCACCAACCATTCAGACCAGCGTGGTGAAGTACGGTCAATAAAACACACACAAGATTGACATGGTGTAGGGGAGGCCTTTGCATACGCTGGTCCGTTGAAAATGGCTTGAATATTTTTTATCTTTAAATTTTATTCTAAGTCCCGAGCATCAGATATGTCGTATAAGAGAGCAGTGCAAGCACATACCGTGCTGTTTTGAAACGCGCGGGTTTTCAGGAGTGTTGAATGCATCGAAATTGCCGTGACGAAGCCTGCATGAGACACACGAAAGCACGCAGACACAGCGCACACACACGGCACGCGTGCCACGACCTGTCCAGTGAGTTCAAAAGCAGGGAAACGAGCGACGCTGTTCAATCAGAGGGTCCTTCCATTGTAGCCACGAAATAGTGCCCCTCAGAGCGAGGTGAAGGCACAGCCCTGCAATGGCGGTGCCGCGGGCGTGAGATGTTAACTCCCTCGCCTGGTCTACAGGAGGTCGTGTATTAGATCCCGACCCTGACGCCTGCTGCTGTATATTTGGAGTTTGCATGTCTCTCTCCCCGTGGTCGCGTGGATTTTTCCCCGTGTCCTTCGGTTTCCCCCCCCCCTCCCCCCAAATTTAGAAACACGTGTTGAGAGTATGTTGCTGTTATAAATGTCCATGCGATAAGCCACTTCGTTGAGCTATCATTTGTGGCTAGGTCACTTCTGAAAAAGAGCTACATAGCTCGGTAGGCCTTACCTGGTAACTGGTGGAAGGGCCTCTGAGAGGGAGCGCCAGAGAGCCTCCCTCTAAAGTGTATTTGGCCTACTCTTCCACGCTGGCCAGAAAAGCTGGGGGTACCCACACTCTACCTCACCACACGTGATTTGCCGATTGACTCATTGGAGATGGATAAACAAAGCAAATGGGTAAAAAGCATCTCTCTAATATAACTTTAAACGCTTCAATTAAATTGTATTTATAATTTTATCAGTGAAGGCTCCTGAGCTATATAGCTCTTCTTCTTGGTTCTTTCAGTAAAGTCACCTGAGGACGGCTGCTTGCATGTGGCCAAAACGTCGTGAGAATTGTATTGAATTTACCGAAAGAACCAAGAAGATGAATCCCTGCAGTCACGAAAGCTTTAAATCGAAATTTATATAACTCTTTTTAAGAAGCGACCTGGCTATCACAAGTGATGTCTCAACGAAGTGGCAGCCACATTCTCTAAACGCGTGACGTTCATTCTAAATGTGGAGGGAACAACCGGAGGACCCGGAGAAAAGTCCACGCGACCACGGGGAGAGAGACGAGCAAACTTCAAATATACAGCAGCAGACGTCAGTCGGAATTGAACCCACGACCTCCTTCATACCTGGCGAGGTAGTTAACATCTCGCCACCGTGGCGCTCCATGCGTCCAACGCGACACTCTCCATATTGATCCACACAAGGCTTGCGTGCTGCCCCGAAGTGAGAACGCACGACTGCTGGCACACCACGGCGGTGCCAATGGAGAGCGCTGTCGCAGCGTTCCTGCCCGCGAGCTCTCTCATTCACAAAGCCGTCAGCGTTGACACCGCCGCAACGCACAGCCTCCGTCATTTTCGAAGGCGTCTAATTTTTCCTTGGGGTGTGCTGCTTCAACCGTTTCAATGCCCAAACGTCGCTATTGCGTCCCGGCGATTTTTCTTTTGTCTGGAGATTTCTACGAGCAATCTCGAGAAAGTAAGCGGCGCTTCACACGACGTGCCGGATGAAGCTAGTGCGGGGGGCCTGTAGCAAATGTTATAAAGGGGCCCTAAATTTAAAAAAAAAACACGTAAATATTAAAACAATACATTTTTACTTGCACAGTAAAATAATTGTATTTTTTCATTTGCTATGCAGCCAGATAATACGACAAATCTCTAACCTTAAACACACAGTCGTTCATAAAGTTGAAGGCGGTATAGTATTATAGTAATAGGGCAAGTGCAGAATCATCGAACCGGAATTGATAGCTTGAAAGCATTTAGCGCGGGTCCCTGGAAATTGCGAGGCCCGTAGCCTTTGTCGTAGCTACTTGTGCTACTACGATAATCCGGCACTGTTCACACGACGTCTCTCGCGCAGACGCGGCAGCCACGCGGAGGCGCGTGGGTAAGCGCCTCGTGGCCTTTGGGCCGAGCCGGGCCTGCGAGGCCGCCTCGTGAACGTGGTGGGCGAACGTGTGAGGTGAACGTGATGGGTGACGGGTGAAAATGTCGGTGAACATATGTGGTGAACGTGGTGGATGTACGTGCGATTGAACATGACGGGTGAAAATGTGGGTGAACGTATGGGTTGAACATGGTGGATGTACATGCGGGTGAACGTGGTGGGTGAATGTGGTGTGTGAACGTGGTGTGTGAACGTGTGAGTGAACGTGGTGAGTGAACGTGGTGAGTGAACGTGGTGAGTGAACGTGGTGAGTGAACGTGGTGTGTGAACGTGGTGAGTGAACGTGGTGTGTGAACGTGTGGGTGAACGTGGTGAGTGAACGTGTGGGTGAACGTGGTGAGTGAACGTGTGGGTGAACGTGGTGGGTGAACGTGTGGGGTGAACGTGGTGTGTGAACGTGGTGGGTGAACGTGGTGGGTGAACGTGGTGTGTGAACGTGGTGTGTGAACGTGTGAGTGAACGTGGTGGGTGAACGTGGTGGGTGAACGTGGTGAGTGAACGTGTGGGGTGAACGTGGTGAGTGAACGTGTGGGGTGAACGTGGTGTGTGAACGTGGTGGGTGAACGTGGTGGATGTACATGTGGGTGTACATGGTGGGTGAATGTGGTGGGTGAACGTGTGAGTGAACGTGGTGAGTGAACGTGTGGGGTGAACGTGGTGGGTGAACGTGTGGGGTGAACGTGGTGGGTGAACGTGGTGGGTGAACGTGTGGGTGAACCTGGTGGGTGAACCTGGTGGGTGAACGTGGTGAGTGAACGTGGTGGGTGAACATGTGAGTGAACGTGGTGAGTGAACGTGTGGGGTTAACGTGGTGGGTGAACCTGGTGGGTGAACGTGGTGGGTGAACATAGTGGGTGAACCTGGTGGGTGAACCTGGTGGGTGAACGTGTGGGGTGAACGTGTGGGGTGAACCTGGTGGGTGAACCTGGTGAGTGAACCTGGTGGGTGAACGTAGTGGGTGAACCTGGTGGGTGAACCTGGTGGGTGAACGTGGTGAGTGAACGTGGTGGGTGAACATGTGAGTGAACGTGTGGGGTGAACGTGGTGAGTGAACGTGGTGAGTGAACGTGGTGGGTGAACGTGGTGGGTGAACGTGGTGGGTGAACGTGGTGAGTGAACGTGGTGGGTGAACGTGGTGGGTGAACGTGGTGAGTGAACGTGGTGGGTGAACATGTGAGTGAACGTGTGGGGTGAACGTAATGAGTGAACGTGGTGAGTGAACGTGGTGGGTGAACGTGGTGAGTGAACGTGGTGGGTGAACGTGGTGGGTGAACGTGGTGGGTGAACGTGGTGAGTGAACGTGGTGGGTGAACGTGGTGAGTGAACGTGGTGGGTGAACGTGGTGGGTGAACGTGGTGAGTGAACGTGGTGAGTGAATGTGGTGGGTGAACGTGGTGAGTGAACGTGGTGGGTGAACGTGGTGAGTGAACGTGGTGAGGGAACGTGTGGGGTGAACGTGGTGGGTGAACGTGGTGGGTGAACGTGTGAGTGAACGTGGTGAGTGAACGTGTGGGTGAAGCCGCTCCCATCGGTGCCGTGCATCACCTGGGAGGTCGGAATTGTTGATGCTGGCAATCAACCGTTGGGCTTTTGTCGTTTTCCGCCTTGTTCGGCGCGGTTTCCGTCGGCGACCCTTCTAGAGGAAAAGCAGAGGCGGCATGAGGGGCGTTCATTGCGTTATCGTGAGAACATCGGCTGTGTTGTGTACGTCCCCTTCACACATCCATCCCGCCACCCACACATCCCATGAACAAAGCCGTTAAAACTTCCAATGTCCACCACGTTATTCCGGAACCTCGATTTTTTCAAAAATCCGCCTCACGATCGCAACGAAGCCAACCACTTTGGCAAAATGACGACGCGGCCCGGCGGCGGAAGCGTTCGCCGCCCGTCGCAGACGTTTGCGGTTCAAGTCTGGCCGGCAGCCCTGGTTAGTTCTTGCCGGTGCGTGGAAGCCATATCGGTGGCGTTTCCTGCACACTGATGACGAGGATCGAGCAAAAGCGCGTGAAGCAACGTGCAGAGGCACGTGCTTGGAATCTCGTCCGAGGCGGCAGGAAACAAAAACACGTGCATGAGAGAATGCACGCACGCAAGCGAAAGGACGTGATATTGGCTGTTAAGAAAAAAGTACCTGACACAAATGCACAATTGAGTGTTATTGTCGAGAATGTTAATGACGAAAGTAAGTTTCCTCCATAATACAAATCCGGCTGTCGCCTGATGATGCTAGTTGTAATTACTGGTGAAACGTCGTACTCGGATTGTAAATGTCGTGGCTTTGCTCTCCAACACACCAGTGTGATGTGCTAGTGACACACCGGTGTCCTGTACTCGTCACGAATTGTCACGTTTAGTTTACCTGACAAACCTTACTAATTGGCTGTGTCAAGTGGTGGCGGGTTTAACGACACATTTAGATATTGACGCCATTTAACCCAAAAAGCCTGTATTATAAGTAAGTAAGTACAGTAGAACCTTGGATTGCGAGTAACTTGGTCTGCGAGTGTTTTGCAAGACGAGCAAAAAATCTGAATCAGAATCAGAAACGGTTTTAATCGCCATGAAAGTTGATAAACGAGCGAGGTCTTGCAATACGAGTAGTACGTGTATACGCTTTGTCTGCCGAGTGTCACGTGATCACAACTGATATACCAGTGCTTTGATATACGAGTGCTTTGGATTATAAACACGTTTCCAGAACGAATTATGCTCGCAATCCAAAGTTTACTCTATGTCTCATTCCCATATTCATATTTCCACACATTATATTCCTGCCACGACCCATCGGCCACACGGCCTTCATGATTCAGCATCTCATCGTGATGGTGCACTAGAATATAAAAACTCATCAGACGATCAATGAAACCGAACTAGTTTGCTTGTATTGATCCAACGCTGCTGATATGATGCACTCCCAGAAGGCCATCCCAGCTGATGGGTTCCATAGTATATACGTTTATTTTATGTGGTTTAGAAAAAATGTTGGTTCCAGGGCCAGGAGTGGACTGCAGTGTCTATGAGACGTACATGAAATACAATCATTTGTTACGTCGATAATGTTTAAGGTAAATCAGATTGAGCATACCTTTATACTTGCCATTAGTCACATCTTCCCTCGAAGCATATTGGTGGGCTTCCATGAACTGCAACAGAGATGGATCACAGTCATCGTTACGCCAAATGTCGTTACCACAGGATACACGCTGCGAGTGAGCAGCTATTAAACACAAGTCTAACACACGACGTTCATGATGTTTCCCGGTTTTAAGGTGGAATTAATCTCAGCAAGTATCCCAGGCAAGTTGTGCGTGATGAGGAATTTAAACTGTATTTCCACTGAAGCCACAATCAACAAGGGACATGTGATTATGGCAGGAAACTGTCACCCACGTATATATGTACAAAGTCAGTCACGCTAAAACATTATCGATTCAAAACGTGGGAACATCAAATGTATTCAATTGATGGGACGTATCGTGCAGTACCACTGCGTGGAAAGTTGCGATTACCGTTTGTGAGATAGAAATATAATGCAGCCCAGCTACTTTTCCAGGACAGAGGCAATACAAGGGTCTCAATGTAACACACATACACACGTAAGCGCACACGCATGTACACACGTACTCACACACACACACACACACGTAAACACGTATGCGCTCACAGACACACGTACGCACATACGCGCACATACACACACGTACGCACGTATGCACGTACGCGAACACACACACGTACACATGTACGCAGCTACGCACACACACACACGTATGCGCACACACTTACACATGTACGTGCTCGCACATACATATACGCATATACACGCACACACACGTACGCGCGCACACACACATACCGCTGCTTTCAGGGTCGAGGCTGGGAGTGAGTTGCATAGACCAACTTCATCGTGGAAATCGAGTGATAAATTCGAGATGTTGTCTTGCAAAGATGTACTCTTGTTGATCACGTGGGGATGACTCAGGTTCTTTAAGAGAAAAAGCACACGTGCATTCCTTGATTGTGCAAAAACGAATCAAATGTATACACACGAAGACTTCACAAATTGTCAATACAATAAAATGGTACATACTATTCCAAAACAACATTTACATTTAATACATTAACAAACAAAACAAAGAGTGGAGTAATAACGAGAGCATTGCCCATGGCCGCGTTTCTCAAAGCATGAACCGCGACTCCATCTCTGGCTGTGTTCTCAACATCAGTGCGGACTTTCCACTGCCAAGTCAATCGGCTACTTGCCACCTGCCCGCAAGCATTGTAACCACCAGCGAAACGCCATCGTACTCGAATTATAAATCTCGTGGATTTTGGTCTCGAACACACCGGGTGTGCTGAATCAGTAACCAATTGGTCGTGTTTTATTTATGTGACAATCCTTACTAATCGGCTGTATCTTTGGGTGGTGGCGGGGTTTAACGACACGTTTTTATTTACGCGATCTAACCCAAAAAAAACCTTTGCTGAGGATTGTTATGTATGTTGAACTTCTTTCGCACCGTACAGCGCCAATCGGGAGGTGCAAACCGCGCTGAATCGTGGGCTGCTTGAGGCCACCGCTGGCTCCTGCAGGCGTCCAAGTAGGGGAGCAATATGCATCTGCGACCTGACTATCACAAATGATAGCTCAATGAAGTGGCTTATCATATGGACATTTGTAGCAGCCAAACACTCTAAATAAATGCTGTTTCTAAATGTGGAGGAACCAGAGAATAATCCACGCGACCACGGGGAGAACATAAAAACTCCAAATATATAGGCATCAGGGTCGGGATCAATCCCACGACCTCGTCTACATCGCGATTCGCCCATGGAGACCGCCGCTCGTCAAATCAAAACACAGACGATGCCACCGATGTTCCACAATATCAAAATCTCCAGACAAGTTTGGATATCAACGGATTTTAAGAGGACGCACTTCACATGGTGCTATTGGAGATTAGCGTGCACACTTTTCATTGACCTCATCCATTCCCCTTACAATGGAATCATGAGTTCGGAGATAAACCATTACCTGGCCCTGACACGAGTGCTGCTTCAACCAAACATCAGAACAGGTTTCTACCAACTCCGAACACTCAAATGGTTGCGTCCGCTCCACTCCGCCTCCAGACCTGGGACTCGTGCCTTTGCCTCAACACGCCTGGATTGTGGGAACGTCCTCTACGCAGATCTACCACTTGGATTGGTGCACAGGGCTCCAGTTGGTGCAGAATGCAGCTGCCCGGATGACCCGTCGGGTTAGCCGATTTAAGCCAACTCCCCGCAGCTTGCGCCGGCTCCCGGTCCACTTCAGAATCCAATTCAAAGCCGCTGCTCTCCTTACCGAGAACGCACTGTGCAGGGCTTGCCCCCCCTATCTACATGCAAAACTGCACCTCCCCCCAATACTCCGGCACGTAATGCACACTCCGCTCCACTGGAACGGCGAGACTCGGCCCAGCCGAGGATCCCCAGGGGGGATGGAACCTTCTCCAGCGCAGCCCCAAACAATCTGGAACATCGTGCCTGCCTCTCAACTCCGTGGTGTGTCTGTGTGCGCAAGACACAGCTGCTCAGACGTGCCTTTCCATGAAGTCTAAAATAAAAACTTTCTTTACTTATCGTTTATTTTATTTACGACTTACCTTTCTTACGCAACCCGCTGTGTGCGGTTGCAATTTACTCCGCTCAGTCGGTGTTAGCCGCTGATGATGATGAACGATAACTCTATGTCCCTTGAACAGATATCACATCGTCCAGTCGATAGTGGTCATACGAAATATTTGCTTCATGGAGTCAACATTGAAATCCAAATGTTTCCTCTTCAAAAGAATGTGGGGAGGTGCTTGGGCATGATCCAGCGCTATAAACTCCACATTGCCATTCCGGTGACCTGGGTCACTCTCGATAACGAGGCTCTATCCTGGCGTCTCGACTTCTCACCCCGGTTAAACAAAATAAACCTGAAACACACGGAAGCTTAACCACGGCCGACTACCCTCGCACAGTAGAAAACTATTCTCAACCCCGGAGGGCTGACGCACGACGGCGATTGAACGTTCGAAGACGCAAGCCCACCGACCGCGATTCACGTGGTGGCTCGGGGCAGAACTCAAGACGCGCGCGCGGTGCACCTCACCGGCTCCGACCCCGTGCTGGTCATGCCCCGGCCGCTCGCCGGCATCAAGAGGTTCGCCGTCCCGCTCGCCGAATGTTTTGCCTGCAGCTTCTTGGCGCAGGCGTTGAGGCTGTTGATCTGCGCCTGGCTCTGCGTGAACTCCACGCGCAGAGCGTCCAGCTGCTCCTGCAGCTCGCGCAGCTGCTTGCGCTGCCGGTCCTTGATGGCGAGGCAGCGCGCGTGCTCCCCTTGAGCGTGGTCCCGCGACTCCAGTGCCTTGGGACGAGGGAGGGACGCGGACGGAGACGACGACGATGACGACGACGACGACGACGACAAAAGTGACGCCGCTTTACGGGACGCTTCAAGATGGAATCGAAACTGAGGCTATCACGGCCAAAGCCGCCGATTCCACCACACTCCCACTACAGCTTCCTTCCTCTTGCCAGATCCCAATGTTTGTTGCTTGGTCGTCACGCGACCTGCTGCAAGGTCCACTCTTACAGGACCCCAGCGTGTGGCTCTCGGTCCTTTCCTCCCCTTGCTCATCAACCTCGGCGTGCCATTGCTGTACCTGCCAAGTCTCCCCCCACATGTGCCCCCACTTGGACACTCCTCCTCCTCCTGATTACAGAGAAAACGATTTGTGTCCAAGTTGCCGACCCTACCCTCTCGTATAACTCCTAGGGCCCACCACATGTGTCTACATTTGAAGGCCGAATGAACGCTTGCATTCCCGTTGTGTGCGGCATGTCCGCGCCTTGCTTGCAGATTCCCAGACATTACTCGTACATAGCACACCCATATCTGAGCAGTACAGGTGAAATTTTGTAAGAGGGACTTATGTAGACCATAAAATCATGCCCTTTGAAAGCAACACATTTCTTTAACTCCTTTTCAAAAATGTTGTGCTACGTACATTTCTGCATACAAAGATACCCCAGTGTCGCCTTAACAGACTGTTTGGACAAGTGGCTGTTAGCGAGCACCTATGAAGACCGGAATGGCACACGAGGGGGTGGGTGGCCAGCCTTTGTCTCCTCAGTGGCAATGTTTTTACACATCTCACTCGGTTCACAATTGAGGCTGAGTCGACTTAGGAGAAGCCCAGGACCGGTTCAGATAGTCGTCACTCGTGTTGGCCGTGAGCGAGAATCGAACGCCGGTCGCCGTGTTCATAGCGCAGCGCTAATCGCGACACTCCCGCTCCCCACACATTGCTGCATTAACGCACACTCACACACACGCTCCTTCATCACCTCACCGTGCCAAGTCCCGACAGACTCACCAACGCATGTCTCGCCGCTACCGTCTGCTCGCTTGGTGGGGGATGAGCACTGCGTGGCTGCCCAGCGTGTTCATGACAGTTCCGTGACGGCCACAGAGGCGACGAGTCATTGACATGTAATCACCCTTTGCTCACGATAGGCCTCGCCTACTTGGTTCAGGTGCAACTGTAGTCCAATTATTTACAAACAACTGCAGGTGACAGTAGAAATCTTCCTTGTTCTGGACCCCGCAATACAGAAACGTGCAGTTTAGTTTTGATTCAGGATGCATTGGGATTTTGGCCAATTCCTAGCCAAACACTGACTATTGCCTGCTAAAAAAGGAAACACTACCCGAGTAAAACCCACACCCGGAGGTTTTGCGCAACCGATTATTGCATCACAATCAACAACCTCAACTCCGCAGCGCAGGATTAACATAGAGGCCTCATTGGGTGCGCCCCGATAGTAAGTGATTGATTGCATCACGGACTCCTGCGGACCACGAGCGAGCCACGAGCAAGCCAGGAGCATGCCAGGAGCATGCCACGCTGCCACGAGCGTGCCACGAGCGTGAGGGCGTGTGTCCGCACCTTCTCTCGCTCCTTCTCCACGTCCTGCAGCTCGGCCAGGATGCTCGCGATGCGGTGCTTGTGCATCTGGCAATCTTTCTCCGTGGTGTCGCATTTCAGCTCCAGGCACCCTTTGTCTTCCAGGTACTGCCGGGGGGTGAAGCAGGGCGGAGTGTCAGTGGAATCACGCGACCAGGACGAGCTATTGCTACTCTTGACTATTTTTGTTTTACCGTGCAAGGCCCCACTGAGCTGTGTAGCGCTTTTTCAGAAGCGACCTGGCCATCACAAATGAGAGCTCAACGAAGCGGCTCATCGTCACGTGGGAATTCATAGCAGCCAAACACTCTAAAGGCACCTTTCTAAATGTGGAGGGAAAAACTGGAGGAACCGGAGAAAAATCCACGCGAACCATGGGGAGAGCGTCCAAACGCCAAATAATCAGATGTCAGGGTCAGGATCAAACCCACCAACTACTGCATACCAGGCGAGGTAGTTAACACCTGGGGTGTGTGCGTGTATGCGGTGTGTGTGTGGGGCGTGTGTGGAGTGTGTGTGGGGTGTGTGTGTGGGGCGTGTGTGGGGTGTGTGTGTGGGGCGTGTGTGGGGTGTGTGTGTAGGGTGTGTTTGTGTGGGGTGTGTATTTGCGTATTTGTGGGTTGTGTTCGTGTGGGGGGGGGCGTGTGTGTGGCATGCGCGTGTGTGGGGTGTGTGTGTGTGTGTGCGTGTGTGGGGTGTGTGTGTGGAGTGTGCGTGTGTGATGTGTGCGTATGTGTGTGGGGTGTGTGGGGTGTGTGTGTGTGGGGTGTGTGTGCGTGTGTGGAGGGTGTACATGTGTGGGATGTGTGTTTGGGGTGTGTGCGTGTGTGGGATGTATGTGCGTGTGTGGGTGCATGTTTGGTGTGTGTGTGTGGGGGTGTGCGTGTATGGGTGTGCGTGTGTGGGGTGTGTGTGTGGGGGTGTGTGTGTGTGTGGGGGTGTGTGTGTGTGGGGGTGTGTGTGCGTGTATGGCGTGTGTGTGGGGTGTGTGGGGTGTGTGGGGTGTGTGTGGGGTGTGTGCGTGTGTGGAGCGTGTACATGTGTGGGAGTGTTTGGGGTGTGTGCGTGTGTGGGATGTATGTGCGTGTGTGGGGTGCATGTTTGGTGTGTGTGTGGGGTGTGTGCATGTGTGGAGCGTGTGCTGGGAACCTTATCTCTGAGCTCCTCTGCCCGTGCTAACTCTTGGCGGAGGGAGAAAATCTGATTTAGCAATTCCTCTCGTTCCTGGAGGTGTTCGCAGGAGACGTTAGAATTGTTTCCCTTTTCCTAGGAGTGGAGGAGGTAGAGATTGGCGAGAAGGTAGAAGAGGGAAGTCACATACAGACAATCAGAGCCCTGCAAAGTGCGCTATATGAATCCGAAATAGAACAAGTCCGTATGTATGTTGAACTTCTTTTGCACCGTACGTAGCCAACCGTGCTAATCGCACGTGCAGTTTATGTTAATTTATTCACAAATTAGTTGACACACGAGTTGGAAATCAAACAATACAAAACATGTACAGCAATTTTTGCCACGTACATGCTTTGAACAGTAACGCATCTTCATAACCGATAAAAACATCACCGAACAATAATCAAATGCTTTTAAAAACACAAAGCACAATGACTGTCGAGACCCGTTTAGAGAGCTCTAACAGTGGAATGTGCGCCCTGTGTACGGAGCGTTTTGTACGTGCCCGAATAAAACCCACGCAGCGGCTGTTGAATTTCGGCCGTTTGCAGAGTCCCTAAGGCCCCGCGAAGAAGCGTGCAGGAAATACGACGTCGACGGTCATAAGGAACACAGAGTCGGAACATTAAAGAGTTTATGAGTCGAAGGCGTGGGAGAATGCATCCCGGCCAATTCCTCCCACTGGCAGCTCACAGGATGTTTCAACGGTGCCACCTCACCCCTTACTCCGGCATTCTCTCTGCCGCACCCGTCTCGCTCCGGTGACACCAACCCAGCGTGCCGAGGCTCCGGTGTCGGACTTCGTGATTCGCCGCTGCCGCGGGCGTCAAAATGGGCCTCGGTCTAAACGTCCGCTGCACACGTGCTCATTGGACTAGGGTTCTGCATTGAAAACTCTTGGCCACTTCAGCAGGTTTTGGGAGTCTCGCAGTGCACGTTTAATTCTGTCCGATACATCAGCCCTGGCCCCCTGTGAAGTATTGTGCTGCACTGGAAATGTCCATATTGTGTCACGCAGCATCCACATGTTATTTTATCCAAGATGATGCATCGGGCAGCCTTTAATTTACATCACCAGCCTGAGATATAACACTAAGTATAAGAATAGGTTTTACCCTTTCTGGCAATAAAACAGATGTTAAAAGAAAGCTGTCTCTGGTGTGGAACAATCAGTTTCAAAGACAATGCATATATTATCAGAGTACGTTTTTTGTTTGCATTCTGACCACAAGTATTGTGGTTAATGCAGACATGATTCCTTGTAAAAGGTTTCAGTTTAGTGTTTTAACATGTTAACATCTACTCTTAGGTTTTTTCGGTAAAGTCACATAGGTAAAAAATAAAATTTTAAATTACTAAAAGTAATAATAGAAATAAAATAAAATAATACATCACGATACAGCAAATCTAGATGTGACGGTCCCACCTGATGACGGAGACTTGTGTTGCCTCCGAAACGTCGTGATTTATTATTTTATTTTATTTATATTATTTTAGTAATTTTTTATTTTATTTTTTACCTACGTGACTTTACCGAAAAAACCTAACAGTATAAATCCTTGCAGTCACGAAAGCTTCAAATCTATGTTAACATCTGTTTTGCTGCCAGAAAAAAGGAGAAAACCTATTCTCAGGTGTTAAGATGTTTGAACATCAAAGAGAAATCGTTTGCAAGGAATCATGTCTGAATTAACCACACAAACTTGTGGTGAACATGCAAACAAAAACATGCTCTTAACACAACTGTTTTATTGCCAGAAAGGGTAAAACCTATTCTTATACTTTGATACTGGCAAGAAAGGTCCCATGTTAACACTTTAAGTGTTTCCAAAGGGCTTTTGCGTCATGTAAATGAGGAAGAAAACTAATAAATTTCCATGAGAGGCACAAAAAAAAGATCTTCAGCTAAAATTCGACTTTCTGAGCCAGTGCATGGATTGTGTTTTCATTTTCATGCTCACGGTAACTGCGCAGTAATCACAGTTAACGATGATAACAAAAATAATGACTAATGACCCTATGATGGGCCGACCAATTGACCGGCACGCAACGCAAGTCGCACGTGACAACAACCTCAACGAACAACGTTCCAGGAAATACATTCAAGTCTGACACCGTCCAGAAACTTTCCAAAGGCAACCGACTAAAAGCCTCCACGCCACCGGTGCTGCTGCCGCCGCCGCCAAGCGCCGTGGCACGACCTCGAGCGATGTGGCAGAGAGGAGGAGCGTAGCTGCACCTTGCCCACGCGGTTGCGGAGCAGGGCATTTTCCTGCTGCAGCTGGAGCAGCACCTCCGCGTGTGGCCTGCGCTCCATGTCCTTGAGCACGCGGCGAGAGTTGCGCCGCACGACCTCGCACTCGCGCTTGGCCTCGTTGCACACGTGCTTCAGCTCGTCCACCTACCACGGGGGGGGGGGGCAGAAAGAGCCGCGGGGGGCAGTGTCCGTCGTTCGGCAGGGGGTGCACAAAAGACAAAGATCCCCTGTATAGCCTTAACAGACTTTTGGGGAAAGTACTGTTAGCGAGCACCTATGAAGGCCACCACGGCACACGAGGGGTTGGGTGGCCAACACCACGCCTTGCCGCCTTTGATTCTCCAGTGGCGATATTTATCAGGGTGCACACCACACACACAGACCCCCCACGTAGGCCATAGACTCGGGAGAAGCATCAAACAACACGCAAACACGTGTTAAAAGCACTCGGCTTTTTCTGGCAATTGTGGGAGGAAACGAGCCGTTCGAAAATTGCCAAACGATCGATCCGTGTGACTTCATGCAGACTCGGCCATCAACCGACATGATAAAACGGCAGGGCGGCCACAATAGCCGCGCGACTCGGTCTCACGGCGCGGCTCCGCGCGAGAGCGATATCGCCCCGCCTGCGAGAGGGCACGCGTCTCTCCCGCTCGGAGCGCGGGCGCGGGCGAGGGCGAGGGATCGTTGAGTTGGCGCTTACCTCCAGCTGCAGCTCACGGCACCTCATGTGCGCCGCGGTGCGCTCGTTGCTCATCGTCATCATCCTCATCGCCAGCGTGTAGTTCTCATCTTTAACTGTCAACAAAGACAAAGGCCCCCCCCCCCCCCCCCCGTGTAGCCTTAACACACTGTTGGGGCAAGCAATATCAATGGAGCCTTTTTTTGCCAGTATCAACGTATGAAAAATAAGAGTAAAACAGGAGGTGTTAAGGATGGTCAAACACCAAATAGAAACCTTTCGCAAGAAATCGAGTCTGCATTAACCAGACGTACTTGTGGTGAACATGCAAAGATTGATTTATTGCCAGAAAGGGCAAAATCTATTCTTACTTTTTCATATGTTCGGGCAAACGCTGTTAGCGAAAAGCACCTATGAAGGCCGGCACGGCACACGAGGGGGTGGGTGGCCACATTGCAACAGGTACTCATTTGAGGCCGAGTCGACCTAAGGACCAGCTCAGATGTTCGTCACCGGTGCTGGCCGTGAGCGGGAATCAAACTCGGGTTGTAGCGTGGTGCACTAACCACCGCTCCCGTCAACACCACCGCCACATTCGCTGCTACGGCACCTCCCCTGCTCGCAGCGCACAACGAGCGGCCGCTCACAGCGGTTTGCGTGCCCCAATTGCGCACTACCGAAGGCAGCACGGGTTTCGTGATGAGTAGACACTTCGATAACATTGACAATGAATGCTGTAAGTTTGTATAGTTCAACAGAAGACAGTATCTAGGCACGTGACTATGTTTTCTTGCTTCCTGGCCAAATTTTGAATGCGGTGAGAGATTAATCTTTTCCTTGTGTAAATTTTTAAAAATTTGAAATCACATTATTTAAGTGTAATCTCATTTGTTGCAGATGTTGTGCCCGTTTTTCAAGGAAAAGACTGTGAGTCTCAATGAGTTCTCAGGTGCTCACCTCTGTTTACTGAACGGGGCATAAATCCGTCTCAAGTTAAGGGCAGTCATGTGATGCGAGTTATGGGGCAGCTGCAGCCTCCGACAAGGACTTGCCAAGAGTGTTGCCTTCCAGCCGTATATCTTATCCAGACAGGTGTTGAACTCTGCCTTCACGGAGCAAGCCCAATGCTCACCGCTGCCCCACCAAACGTAATTCCTCTGCCCTCTGTCCCTTCGCTCGAAGAGGATATCGCAGCTGTATGAAAGGATTACGCCTGACGGCAATGTGGCTAAAGCTCACGACTCTCTCTTGAAATATGATCATCCTCATAGCAGGTTAAATGAATTAATAATCCCTCCAGGGTGGTTAAAGTAGGCACCACTATGTTGGAGAATGTTGAAACGGTGGTTGTGCAATGTGAGACTATTGCCTGCCAAAAGCATGGAATTTCCACCACTGCCGACAGCGATGAGCAATTGCCCCACCTGCGTTTGAAGGGGGGACACGTTGGCTTGGCCTCGAATGCCCGACACCTGTATGTGAGTCCCTCAAGGCCGCCATTCATTCTGTTTCACTCTCTCACTATTTCCCAGCCCCAATTTTTTTTAACTCGTCTCTCTCTCTCTTTCTGCCTCTCCTCCCTCCAGGAGTTCGAAATCATAAATTTAACGGCACTGTTAAACAAACAAAACGAGAAAACCCATTAAAATTGGTAAAAAGGGGATGCTTAAACACCGGATGTGCCACTTTGGAAACCTTGCGCCCCGCGCACCGCATGGCCCAGCCCAACCCCAGCGGTCACCTCGCGCCAGCTCGTCACTGTAGTTGTCCCTCTCCTCCTGCACACGCTGCAGGCGGTCCTGCACCTGCACGAGCTCCACGCCCTTGGCCTCCAGGATTTTGAGTCGATCCTCGAGGGCGGCGATCTTGCCCCGCAGGTGGCCCAGCTCGCGCTGTTTCGACGACAGCTGGGACTCGAGCCGCACGAGCTGCGCGATGAGGCAGCGGGGGAACGGCTCGGCCATGTGATGCTGCTCCAACAGCGGCAACGGATCTGGAAACTCTGCGAGAGACAACGGGAGAGAGATGCGGAAAGGGGGTCAAGGGGTTTTGACGGAGCCATTCAAAGACGAAGGCATTTGTCTGTATGTAGCAAAGGACAAGTGCATGCATGTGAGCATGCACATGGTAATCAATGCAAGGGTGACATGTGGTTTTAATACTGCAAGAGTGGCTTTGTAGGCATGGCTCAAAACAGATGATTTATCCCTTCATACAATGAACGCAATAAAGAGACTAATTACACAACGTGGACCTTGTTTGCACGTGGATCTCAGAAAAGCAAGGCAACGTAGGTATGTACGTATGTATTTTTTACATATTTTGCACCGTACGTAACCAACGGTGCTAATCGGAGGCGCGGAAGAAGGACAACAAACTAAACACAAAAAGCAGTTCTAAAATAAATTAGCATTCCCCCCCCCCCCGCCGCCCCATCAATGCAGGTATGAGTAAATAAATTGTAAAAAAATGGCTGCTATAGAACATCTAAGTGCAAAATTAAGGGGCAGGGAGGAAGCAGATCACCAACTTGGAACCCGTTCACGGATTATCCTCTAGTGGACATTGATTTTTAAGATTCATTCGCACATTTAGCCCCCCCCATCCCTCCCTATCCCCCCCCCCCATCTCTCCCGTCCTTCCTTAGAGAGTTATCCGAGTTAAGGAAGTAGTCACCTGGGATGTAGAGTTTACTGAAGCACGTGGCACAGATAGGTTCAAAATAATAAACGTTCGTAATAATCATTGTCATTCACATTGTGTCTAGACTACTGGTGTCAATTCCCATGCACGCTACCCTCTGTGCATACTTGAATCGTTTGTTCAATGCAAATGAATTTGTAAAATTAAAAATGTGTTTCAATTACACGTGTGTGCAGTTCCACATGGAAGGATAATGTCACGGGGATGACTGTACTTGGCCATTTAGCAGAACATTTTAAAATGAAAAAAATGAACAGAGAAAATAGGATAAACGTGGGACATTTCAATAATCACAGCGCAAATGCCGTCTGTGTGCTATCTCCACCTTCTTTACAAGAGCGCTTTACGGGTCCACGCACACGATGCTAGAGAGAGCCACCATGGCACGGCTAAGACCTCCACTGAACATGCTGCGTTGTGCGACCCTAGAGAGCAGTCATATTCACGTTACGAAAGAGGGCTTCAGAACAGTTTATATGTCAAACGTGTTGACCAGAACACAATCGTTTTCACGTCGAAATATTTAGAAACAGCAGGGAAATGCTCTGGGAGGTTGTGTACATGTGTGTGTGTGTCTGTGGGCTTTGGGGAGCGGTAGTGTAACGGTTAGCGCTCTGCGCTACAAACCCAGCTAACAGAGTTTGATTCCCACTCACAGCCAACACCAGTGACGATTATTTGAACAGGATCCCCCTTATAGCCTTAACAGGCTTTTGGGGCAAGTGCTGTGAGTGAGTAGCACCTATTAAGGCCGGCATGGCACACGATGGGATGGGTGGTCAGCACCACGCCCGGCCGCCTTTGTTTCCCGAGTGGCAATGTTTATACACTGCACCAGGTACTCATTGAGATCATTTTCACTGGTACTGGCCATGAGTGAGAATAAAACTCTGGTCACCAGATTTGTAGCGCAGCACGCTAACCTCTACACTGCCACTCCCCATGTGCATAAGTAGACCAATGCACATACATACACATAAAGTACAGATTTTCATATATGGAAATGTTATTGTACTGAAACGCAGGAAGAGAATGCCCATGACAACAAGGCGACATGCAAATACATGACGATAAATTACCAAAAAATACAAAAGCACGTACCTTGGCCAGCCTTAGGAGGGTTTCCACTGATCTTGGTGTAGACATTTTGGTATTGCGTCTCCAGCAGTGTCATGAACACTTCGTAGGCCTTCTTGCCCTTGGTCTGCAAGATGTCCAACAAACGGCCTAGAGACACGGACATCCTCACGGTCATCAATACGGAAACCTCCAAACAATAACAGAACTGTTTGAGGGCCTCTCCCATCCTCCTCCTCATTCCTCAGACGTTAAACAGCTGCACTGCGTCCCACTCCGAGCTGTCAATGATGTCCATCATCATCATTATCACATGGCCACCACACCCAACACCGCTTCCTCTGCCGCCCGATGCCTGTTGCACGAGGTTCATAAAATGTACAAAAAACGAAATTCGGGTCGATATCTTTACTATGGCATAATCTGTTTTCATTTCCAATTTTAGGCAGAAAACTACAAATGTTGTGAAATTGCGGTGGAATGGTACCCCACTTTAACGTGGCGCGGTCTCTGCGCAGTTAGAAAATGGGGCCACTCCTTGGTAACTGCAAAAAGGGGAAACGCGAATGAGTGCCGATAAATGAAACAGAAAGATTTGAAATGTAAAGAGAGGGCTAAGGCCTAGCGAGGGGAAAGCGTCCCACGCAACCCGTGACATGGGTCCTGCCAGGCACAAACGACGGGCTCCACTTCTGGGAGATGCACGCGAGCGTTGGGGGTGGGGGGGGGTGAATAAATATTGTGAAGAAGGTGGCTGCGTCGTAAGCTCCCCTCACGTGATCAGCCATTCCACCACTTATTGCCTCGAAACCCTCCGATGTACTTCTGGCTCCACCGTGTGTTGTGTTTGTGACATTTTCGCTCCATTTGCTGGGAACTTCCTCGCTCCAAGCACCACCAGGTATTGACCGCTCAACCTCGAGAAACCTCCGCAGGATTATGGTATTCATAATAAGGGTTTTTTGTTGGGTTAGATCGCGCGAGTATTAATGTGCCGTTAACCCGCACCACCCGACACAGCCAGCCAACCAGTAAGGTTCGTCACGTAAACAAAACGTGCCATTGAGTCACTACTTGAGCCCACCGGTGTGTTGGAGAGTAAATCCACAACATTCACAATTTGAGTACCTTGCCATTTCGCTGGTAATTACATCCGGCATTATCGGGTGATTTTTCCAGAATTGCCGGGATTATGGTATTGCCATAAATTCTGCCCAAAGCCTTCTGGTAACTCATGCTCCCCCCACCCCCTCCTCTTGCAAAAAATACAAATTTAAGCTGTCTGGAAACAAGCACGATCACAGAAAATGTCATCAACATCAATTACTGCCGGTGAAAACCGGTGAGGATGATGGAAGCATCGCACAATGAACATCGCATTGACCGGACTCGAGACAGAAGCAATAGAAACAAAAGTGAATCGAATTGTCAGCCGTTGTCAACGTGGCACAATTGACACGACGAAAGGAGTCCTCACAGTAGGGCGCTGCTGCATCGACATCGTGCTGCACAGGTCTGTTCCACAGTGAATGAACAGCAGCACTTCAATGTGCCATCGGGGGAAATGCAGTCTATTCCAGAAAATCATGTTTTGCAACAATGCACAAACTGTGGAGTTATAAAAAAAAAATACAATTTAGACAGCCATGAAGTTTAAATCATGGCTGTGTGCCAACAGCTGCAAGCTACGAGCTGCAAGCACCCCCTGCATCGCACCTGTTCGCCATCCCCGCCCCCCCCCCCGTCATCATTGTCATCCACCAGCATGCAGGTTGATTACCTGCGACAGCGACAGCATCATCATCATCACGGTCAACAAACCAGCGAGCGCCATCTCACAACACTTGAGTGACCATCACCCTGTCAATGCCAGACATCATCGTCGTCATCGTCTTCTTCATCATTTAAACCCCTTCATCCACATCCTGTGTGATGCGCTTAACATGCATAAAAATCACTCCCTGCCCATGGATGCTTTCAATTCAGAAGCTTTGAGTGCCCCATGCGTTACACAGGCAGCTCGCGCAGCTCAATTCCCGAGCCATTTAAAGGAACTTTCGGCTCGCCTGACGAAAATTCACAATACAAGTGGAATCGCGCGGAATATTCCACCTGTTATACACGGGTGAACGTCGGGTCTTTTAAACCGGCACTTTGTCCTGGCATGCACTTTGGGAAATTATGTAATTTATTCAGATATCCGTGAATTATTTGTTGGGGATAAGTGAAGGTTTCACTGGCAGATCCATCACATTGCCCACAACTTTGCAGATAAGTGGAGTCAAGTCACACACAACACGGATAGCAGGACTCGCAAATGTTAATACGCCAAATCACCAAGCTCTACCGTATATTGAGGATTACCTTTTCTCTCATTAATAATCATCGTGATTTGCCTCGTTATTGATTTGGTAATCTTCAACGCGTTGCTTGATTCAAGTGAAAAATAGCATCCGTTTTAAAACGACACTTATTAAAACTGTACTCAAGTGGAGGCATAACATCATCATATTAAAGTTGAGGTCATGGGAGTGAACCACGTGATCAAAGGTAACTCCTACGGGGCGCATGACCGAGTTGTGTCGAGGCGACCAGGGAACGGGGACACTCACTCATGCGCATGGCCTCGTTCTTGAGGGTCAAGTCACCACACGTCACCTCCTCCTCATCCTGGACGGAGATGACCCCATACGATCGCAGGTGATGCGTCACCCTTGAGGCCTGCGCGTTTGGGGGGTGGGGGGGGGGGGATCACGAGCACTCTCATCAATTAATGCGATTGAGGGACACGGTCACAATTGTAAGTTGCCATTCCATGGCTTTTCAAGTCACCATTACAGGCAATGACAAATCATTATTGCTTCATCCACAGAGATCCATTCCCAAAATGTGTTGTTCAGGCTTTCACAAAATATATGAAGGGTGGTGTTAGAGTCTTGTGCCAGTGAAATGGTTCGAGAACAATCAGGTGACTCATATTTCTGGGATGTGATAAACAATAGCAACCTCGCACAGTTGTCCAAGTCAAGGTTTTGTAGCGCGGGAAGCCATGCTGAAAACATTCACGTAGCCGACCGGATAACACGCACTCATCTGTGTCAGCATACACTCCCGCACGTGCGATAAGCAAAGGCCAACACTGTGGAATGCTGTATCGTATCAACTATCATATAAACTATCATGCCGCACCCACCGAGCCAAGCTTAGACACGAACACGTGTGCCTTGCGAGGTTTGTTTTACAGCCACCCCTGACATTCAATCACAAGAATTGTTTCCCATCTTGGAGTCACGGTTTCAATTCGAGAGTTAATTCTCCGAATAACTCACGGTGATTGTAGCACCTCTAGTGGATGCAGGGGTCAGGTGAACCAATTGTATGCCATATACACACATGGAAACATATGGTCATGGATTTTACGCCCACGGTGTTTTCAGGATTAGGGGCTGTCCATAAATGACGTCACGCGATTTTGGACGATTTTTGACCCCCCCCCCCCCTCATCACACGGCGTAACAAAAAGTCAGATCCCCCTCAAATATGACGTCACAAAGCTATGCCCCCCCCCTCCCAAAAAAACATGCTTCAAATCGCTTTAAACTATTGTCATTGTAGTGCGTATTTAATGTGGCGCTGCACTCTGATGTTGTAGGAGAAAACATTTATAAAAAAAGTTTATTTAATTAAGTAGAACGTGTTGTCTAGATTTATTTAAAGTTGCGCATTTTGATGTGACGTCACATTTCTCAAACCCCCCCACCTCCTCACACATCGTCACAAATGTCTGACCCCCCGCCCCCCCTAGGTGCGTGATGTCATTTATGGACAGCCCCTTAGTGTCAATCGATGAATCTATGCATCGTCCTTATGCCGCATTGTTTATATGACGGGCTCTTGGCATCTTTGGTGGCTCACGGAGGCGAGTGAAGAAGGGGCGGGAATGGTGGCATGGTTCGTGTGGGATGGAGAATGAGAACGAGGCCCTCCTCCATGCTGAACCCAAAAAGCCATTTCTCTTTGAGACAACACGCCCGTGCAATACAGCAACATCCACCCCCCCCCCCTACCTTGATGCTGTTCACGATGACCTCGCGGAAACGCTCCAGCTGGTCCCAAAGCAGCTTATCCTCGTCCTCAATGTCCATGGAACCCTTTAGAATTAGTGATTCACATTCCATTGATGTACCGGTCTGCTTCCGAACAGACGAGCTGTTGGCTCTCTTTCAGCCGACACCTGGAAGACAGCACAACGAGCATGATGTGCGTTTGCAATGTAACGTACGAATGTGTACACAAGGATTCCTCTACTTACGAACTTTCAGAGATACGAACAAACCTGTCCGTATGTCCAAGAGTCGAAAGTTTAACTGCCGCGCAATAGGTAGTGGTGGTGGCATCGACATCTGCAGACTATGAAGAACCAGTGGCGTCTACATCTATGTGATATTAAACACATTTTTAAGCAATTTCCCGTGTTTAGTGTACACGCTATACAACATGTTTGAGATCGACAGGAGTAAAGTTGGACTTATGAACAAATCGACTTACGAACAAACCTCTGGAACCTAACTCGTTCGTAAGTAGAGGAGTCTCTGTACAGTACAAAAGATGCTCTCCTCTCTGTGCGTGTTTCTCATTGCACCTCGGGCAGAATCGGTGTCAACAAAAGCCCTATGCAGCACTTGGAGACATATTACCTCTTCTGGTCGTTCGCCTGTCGGTTTAGTTTCAATATCCACTCGCTTTGGGTTTTGTTCCTGTGGGTTTTGGGGAGGGGGGGTCGGGAAATTGTGGTAATATATTTAAGATGTCGATATAAACCGTGCACTAATTAGGACAGACCCTTGAGTCGCTTCACCAACTCACGAAACACGATCACGATGAAACCCACCCAGCATTGGGGTTTCGAACTGGGTGAAGTGAACGTGGAGGGAGGCGAGCCTGAAGACGTGACCAGGCAGAACACCCAGACGCCCACGACTTCGTAAAGATATTTAAAAGATGTGCATGACATGAGACCCTAACACTCACATTTCCTCCTTGTCATTATAGAGGCGTTTGAGGAATTCCTTGTTCAAACAGGCTTTTGAAAGGGATACATTTCCAAAGCGTCTGCATCGTTCTCGAGTACAGCCACGGCTCATGCTTGAGTACAATCGATGTACCGGGATACCCCAGTCTACGTCGCGGATGCGCTCCGGAAAGGTATGACGACCTATATCGAAACGACGTAAATCAAAGTGTTTACACGATTTTATTTAACTCACTCTGTCTGTTGTATCTTCAACCCTGTCTGTTGTCGTATCCTCAAATCTTGTCACTCAATTTTAACCCACTTCCCAATGTCGTATCGACTGCAAACTTGGTATACGTATGTCATACTGATGTTTCGGCTTGGGTCTAATTGTCCACGCTCAACTCACGTTGGCTGTAAATCACCAGTCACTTACGTTGTGGCAAGCTTCGGGGCCACTTCCTGGAGTCGTGGAGTTCTGCCACTACTCGTATGGTACATTTCATTAAAGTGTGTTTTAAAAAATATATATTTTTAAAAGTTACTTTTTTTTCTTCAAAATCACTAAAATCCCGCACCTAAATAAGAACTTGTACTGTATAGAACAGTACGTTTCTTTATGCGCCACGCAAAGCAAGTTCGTGTACAGGGTAGTAGTAGGTGGAGGCGAAGGCTGAGAGGCGACGGATAACGAGACAGGAAGTACGCTGCTGCTGCTGTTGCCAGCGACGTGAGTGTGGGTTGAGGCGACGCATGGGGTAGTCGCGCTGTTTATACAGCTACGGCGTAAAAAGGGGGACACGTAAACTGTGGTATAACTGTACATGTGAAGCGCTGACGAATTATACCATGTCCACCACCACTATGCCTATCAGAGATCCACCACCACCATGTCCATCAGTGATCCACCACCACCATGTCAACAGTGATTCACCACCATCAAGTCCATCAGTGATCCACCACCACCACCAAGTCCATCAGTGATCCACCACCACCACCAAGTCCATCAGTGATCCACCACCACCACCACCAAGTCCATCAGTGATCCACCACCACCACCAAGTCCATCAGTGATCCACCACCACCACCAAGTCCATCAGTGATCCACCACCACCACCACCAAGTCCATCAGTGATCCACCACCACCACCAAGTCCATCAGTGATCCACCACCACCATGTCCATCAGTGATCCACCACCACCACCACCACCAAGTCCATCAGTGATCCACCACCACCAAGTCCATCAGTGATCCACCACCACCACCATGTCCATCAGTGATCCACCACCACCAAGTCCATCAGTGATCCACCACCACCACCAAGTCCATCAGTGATCCACCACCACCACCAAGTCCATCAGTGATCCACCACCACCATGTCCATCAGTGATCCACCACCACCACCAAGTCCATCAGTGATCCACCACCACCAAGTCCATCAGTGATCCACCACCACCACCACCATGTCCATCAGTGATCCACCACCACTATGTCCATCAGTGATCCACCACCACTGTCAATTGTATCAGTTTTAAAAATTATAAAACAACAGTACAGTTGAAAGAACTGTTCAGTTAACAAATATTTCAGCTTCCACTGTCTTACGTGAACAAAAAATACCAATATATTGATTATCTTATTTTATCTTAATTTATCTTGTTTTTAATTCATATAGCAAACTGTAGAGCAGAATAGTGTGATGAGATTATTTGATGAGAAGGATGGCATCACGGGATGATGATGCGTGAAATAAACGATGATGAAAGTGACAATGGGTGGCTAATGATGAGCCGGTGTGATGGATGGGTAGGCAAGTCGGGACGAGGGATGGTGTAGGAAGGAAGGGAGAAGGGGGAGAGAGATTTGGGTAAGCGAGGGATAATAAGTGAGATTTTTAAGGCAAGAAGGATCAATGGACAGTGGGGGTGACTGTTTGACGTGTAGGGGGCAGCTAGTTCCAGCGTTATGGGGCACAGAAGCGAGAAAGAACCGACTCGAGACTGGGCACATGGAGGAGGGGGGCAGAGGAACGACAGCAGCTGGGATTGTGAACAGAGAGGGTGAGATGGGGCGCAGAGACGAGACGAGGGACGCGAGACGACGCGTTGGGGCCAGACCATGGGGAGAGATTTGTGAACGAGGGTGAGGAATTTGGAAGGCAACAATGGTAGACGGGAAGCCAGGTTGGCTGCAAGGGGAGGGGGAAGAGGCGATTTGTGGGAGTGGTCGGGGAGATTAGAGACCATCCGGGCAGCGGCATTTTGGGTTTGTTGGAGCGGTTTGAATGCACAGGAGGGAAGACCAAGCATGAGGGAGTTGCAATAATCGAGTCGAATGATGAGGAGGGAGGGAGTTTTTTATTTAGTTTGCAGCCATGGGTGAGATGAGGGGGCGGACTTTTCGAACGTTTCACAGGTGAAAACAGCAGGAACAGGTTATGGTAGATTTGTGGTCGGAAATAGAGGGGAGTCAAAGATGACTCCAAGATTTACTGGCAGATGATACGGGCAGGGCTAATGCAGAAAGGGGGGCAAAGAAGATAGTTGTTTAGGAATTCGCATGACGTGTGTATTACATCTGTAGCATGCTACAGGCAGGCACGTGCCACACGGTAGTGGCCCAACATTCATGGTTGAGGTGAAGGAGTGTGTCAGCAACTGTTGCACCTGCAGCGAATACGCACTTGCCCAGCAGACGGAACCCGTGATGTCACACGAAACACCAACCCGGCCTCGGCAGATTGTCAGCATGAACCTATTCAACAACGGCTGCCGAGATGATCTGCTGAACGTCGACCACCGACCACTCGGACTTCTGCGAAGACGAGTTGCTGCTGGACTCGTCTGCCAAGACGAGTTCATCGCAAGACAATGGACCGCACGCTCACTCACTCGCCCGGCAAAGGGGCCATGCAGGACCGGGCAAAGCCGGGAGAGCAGAGTGGTTGTATTATTATGACGCCACGCTTTTATTTAACTCACTCTGTTGTTGTTGTTGTCGTATCCTCAAATCTTGTAACTCAATTTTAACCCACTTCCGAATGTGCTATCGACTGCAAACTTGGTATACTTATGTCATACTGATGAAAATACTACATTCTACCATTAAAAAAAACAAATTTTTAAACCATCTTTTTATATGTTATGGTTCGCCTTGGGTCTAATTGTCCACACTCAACTGATGTTGGCTGTAAATGACCACGGCCCCTTTCGTTATGGCAAGCCTCGGGGCCACTTCCTGGAGTCGTGGAGTTATGCCATTACTCGTACGGTACATTTCATTAAAGCGTGTTTAAAAAAAAAGTATTTTGAATATTACTTATTTTTAGCAGGCACGCCTGAAAGCAGCAACTTGGAGCAAGCAACCGCGCCGGTCAGCATCCCAGGACCCAGTACGTCAACCTGGAGAGACGCTGGCAGCTCATCAATGTCCACACAAAGCGCCCTGCTTATTCTACCCTCAGTGGGCGACTGCCACAGCCAACGGATAGACTTTATCTAAAACAGCTGATCGAGGTGGACAGCTGAACAGAAAAGGAAATAGATATTTAGATTATTGTTCGATTGCTTAATTCAAGCTAAATGTCAGCTATTGCTTAATTCTATGTCTCAAGTAGATTTGCTTTGAATTCTTAATTGTTGTTTGAATTTGGTGTTGTTTGAATTTGGTGTTGTTAAGTGGCTGTTTGAATTGTTGTTTGAATTTAACTTGTTAAATTGTTATTTGAAAAGGGGAGATGCTAAGGAAGTCACATCACGTGTATGTATGACGCCATTGCATTACAGTATGACATTATGGCATTGCACGAAGGTGGCTCACACAAGCCTGCTGCAGTGCTGGTAATCCGGAACTGCAGTAGCATATGTAGCTACTACTTGTGTAGCTACTACATATGTAGCTATACATGTAATAGGTATATATGCTACGGGCCCCGCACTTTCAAGGGCCCCGCGCTAAATGCTTTCAAGCTATCAATTCCGGTTCAGTGATTCTGCACTTGCTATATTAATATAGTACTACACTGCCTTAAGCTTTTAGAAACGACTGGGTGTTTAAGGTTAGCGATTGGTCGTATTATATGTCTGTTATAGCTAATGAAAAAATACAATTACTTTACTATGCAAGTAAAAAAAATTGTGTTTTAATATGTATGCGTTTTTATTTATTTTATTTATGACCCCTTTATAACATATGCTACAGGCCCCGCACGAGCTTAATTA